GTGATGCTTGGACGCTTGCGCAGAGGTCTCCGCTGTGCGTACAGAAGCTGCAGTTGGTGGGAGTTGGAATGCCGCCGGTGAACCCGCCAACAAAAAAGTATCGGTCAAGATCAAACCCTGTGAGAAGGGGAAGGCCCTTGCTGGATAAAAAACAGGTGCGACAGGTGCCACGCTCTCGTTCACAACGACGAGTGCAACCGGCGGAAGTGGTGGAAAAGCCAAAGCCACTGGAACTGAAGCCTCGTGGTGGGTTGTCGTATCGGTTCAGCAGAGCGTGGGCAGATGTGGTGGATGATGATGAACAGGCGGAGGCTTTGGTCTCTTATGCCGCTTCCTCAAGCGATTCAAGCGAGGAGGAGACCAATGCCGCGCAACGCATGAGGGAAATCTTTTTGCAAGAAAGGGATTCACAGAGAACTGCGATTCGTGGCAATGTTCCGCTGGGTGGTTCTTCAGGCCCCAATGACGGGCCGAAAAAATCGGTTCACCTTGGCGAAGGGCGCGACAAAGCGTCGCGGGGGGAGACCCGCCAAGAAGTGACTTCACAAGTTTTTTCGCTACCACAACCTTCTCGTCGAACTGAACAGTCTCAAAAAAGAGCAAGGGATGGCTCAGTTATAGTTGGTTCGCTGGCGGTGGGCTCCACGGATGAGGTTTTACCTGGGCAAGGTGTTGCTGGACAGGTGAATGTATCTGAAAGCGCTCAAGTTCTTCCTGGGCAAGAAGTGGCTGGACAGGAGACGGCGCTGGAAGGAGCAGTGCAAATTTCTGGCGAGGAGACTGACCAAAAAGAAGGAGAAGGTGGGAGCAATGAACTCCGTGGTGATGGTGCGAAGATATTGGATGTTTGTCCGGTGAAGAAGGACCTTCAGCAATTGCTGGTTAAAGGTCTTCTGACTCGGATTTATTGGAAGGTTGCTGTTGGCAAGTTGCCTGTGGGGCAAAGAGACTGCCAGAAGGGGTCCAATAAGATGGATCGAAATTTGGTTATTAGCATGTCATCCGAGGGTGCAAGCGAACAGGATGAGAACCTGGCACTGGAGGACGATGCTGATCAGTCAATGGGTGATGGTGCGATGGTGGTTATGGTGTATGATCCAGGAACGCTGATTCAGTCGCCAACAACTGATTGGGTTATGCGTCGCGGTCTGACCGATCGTACCGTCTGGCCAGCAATGGCGTCTATGGCACAGAGGATATGTGCTGAAATGGTTCAAGTGGATGAAATGAATGCCCAGCTAGGGACTGGAGCACTCCTTTTTCAAAGGAGAGATCAAGGATACTATTGTGATCTGCATCATTCGTTCCATGACAATCCGTGCTTGCCGGCGGTGGGAAATTATCCTCTTTCGGTGATGGGTGCATTGCTATCTCCTGGTCTGGAAGGGGAATTCAAAAATACTGATAAGTTTGGAACTGCTATGGAGGCAATTGCCTATGATTGGAGTCGCAGTCCAGGCATGGAAGTTCACATTGAACTTATGGCGAGGGTAGCCAAATTGGTTCATCCGTTCCTTACCCTCGGAGCCCAAGGGTCAGTGATGGTTTCGGAATTTCTCTGGCAGCGCGGGAGGGCCCAGTTGATGGAGTTCCTTCAGGCGGCGACTTGCGCTGATCAATTGGAGGTTCTCTGGAGAAGGATGGACGACGATGCTGATGAAGAAGTGGATCCTTCGACAGCGGTGCTGGAAGTTCTTGGACCGGAGGATGCGGTACTTGATCAAGGGAACAATGAATCCCTTATCCCTATTGAAGATGCTGGAGGTGAGACAATTGGTGACACTGGAAGGGATGGCAAAGCGCCAGAAGTTTCTCCGGAAGAGGAGACATCCAGTGGGTCATCAAGACTGGCGGACACAAGGATTTTCTTGTGGTCAGTGTACTCCCGCGTGGCTTCTAATTTCTCTATGCAGGACCGCACTACTGGTAAGATCTTTGACAGCACAAAAGGGTATCCTGGTGAAGGACCAAACAATGATGACAATCCTTCCTCTAAGAGGAACTTACCCTGGATCTCGGAAGACTACCTCGACGAAGTGGTGTCAAAAAAGATGGAAAGGTCTTCAGATATGGATGGGTTGGATGGGTTTGTTCCGGGAAGTGAGGGACCGTTGGAAAAGGTAGAGGTGGAGAATGTTACTGCCTCTAAAAAATTCTTATGGCTCTTTGGAAGAAGGGATATAGAGCTGGGTATAGGAGGTTGTGTCGTTTGAACGCGTCTGGATGCAAGGTTGGAGCAATGAAACGTCCAATCAAAAGGGTGCAGAAGATTGGCACTAGAAAGGCCTTCACGAAGATGTTCAATGTTTTTGGATCGTCTCAGCATGGCTCAGGAGCTGGCGGAAAACCAATCATGAAGGTGGTAGGACCAAGGCCAGGTTTTCCAGCTGTACTCCAAGCATCAAATACTGATAGCACTTTGGGTGAAGGGAGCAGTTCCCAGGTACATGGCAATGTTCATGTAGAGCAGAATCGCCCTATGGACCGGTACGAGGCAGAGCGCTTGGAGAAGAGGAAGAAAGGCTTCTGCTATTGGTTCAGCAAGGGGAAAGATCGCTGCAAATTTGGTGAAGACTGCAAATTCATCCATTCAGAAGATGATGTGGTGCTACATTCGTATTGGTGCAAATACTATGTGGCAGGGAGAGACTGTTTCGCTGGAAAGGATTGTGCGTTCTCGCATGATGCAACTGGTGTGAGGTGCATCCAGTTTGCTCGGTCTGGGAAGTGTCGTTATGGTGACAGGTGTGTCTTCGAGCATGGTGTTCCGCTGGATGAACAGAGGCCAAGGTCTCCAAGGACGCCCCCAAGGGATGGTCCAAGGAGAAGTTCTGGTGCAAATGGTGGAGAAAAGGAGATCTCTCCTGAACAGTTCGATGATGGTGAGGAGGATTTTATGGTTTATGACGATGATACCAAAATGACGGAACTGTTGATGGAGGCGATTTCATTTCTGTCCAAGGGCCAGCCAGATTTGGCTCGAGCAGAGGCGGACCCATTGTTCAAACTCCTGAAGTTCACTGGAGATACTGACCAAATGGATCAAGAATGGGTTTCGTGGACCAATGGTATGTTGTCCGTGCTGGAACTTCACGAAGTAGTGAAGTCGTATGATGTTTCGCTCGCGGAGGTGGAAGAATGGGTCAATGACCTGAGGATATGGTACGAGCGAGCCAATTTGGGAGAAGAGAAAGATTCCAAAAGAGGCAAAAAAAGGTCCCTAGAAAGGGAGTCCAGCAAGGATATTCCTGCAGAAAAAGAAGTGGTTGAAACTTCGGAGACGGAGGTTGCCGTTGAGGAGGAGATGAAAAAGGTAAAAAAGAAGAGGAAAGCTGCAGCTATCGAAGATCCTTACACTCTCATGGTTCCAAAGCCGAAGAAGATGCCGGCGATCATTGAGAAGGGTGGATCATCATCCAATGTGGTGGTCTCTGCAGTGGAAAAAGCCTCGAAAATGCGCACAAAGTCAAATGTCGGTGGAAAGACAAAGAAGAAGGAGAAAAGTCAGAGTCCCAAAAAGGAAGAGGTGGTAATGGTGCAAGGTCCTGAGGAAAAGGATCGTCCATCTGATGCGGATGCACCAGCGTCTACCACTGTGAATGCGGAGCTGGGTCAATCTTGCCAAGCGATTGAGGACGCAAAGAGAGAAGGATTGGTATCCTCAATTCAAAGGTGCGTGCAGGATCCTGTTCTTACAGTTTCGGACCTGGAGTATATTCTGCTGCAACTTCACCTCAAAATTGCCAACAATCGGAAAAAGAAGTGATTGGATGGTATGGATGAAGGGATGGTTTTTCTCTTTCTGGAGACAGGTGCGCTGGAACAGCCAATGTGCTGACAATGTGGTGGTTACTATTAAGGGTATGGAAATCCCTGATAGTAGAAGTTAGTAGTTTTTCGCGTAGCGAAGACCACGGTTTGTGGTGAAGAAGGCCGAAGAGTCTTCAATGATAAGAGGATCATGGTGGAAAAAGATTCTCTGTGGTTAGTGGGTTTAGCCAATGTGCTATAATTTCGTCCTGGATGACGTAAAACCATATTGTGCATTTCAAGCAGCTGGCTGCTGCCTTAAGGGCAGTTTTTGGCCAAAAGATCTGCACCTCCAATGTGTCCTAGGAAATCCTAGGACAGGGGGAGTGCGGAGCTGCAACTGGTATTGTAGAAAGGAGTTAGTGTTGGGGGTTGGAAGGGTCAATGAACCCGGAAATCTTGTATGGCTCAAGATGGCCAAGAGCCGTCAGCTTTTGTTGAAAAAGTACGTACGTCTGGGGTTGGGTTTAACGGGTTGGAGTAGTCCCGTCCCTTCTCCCTTATCCTGTCCCCGTAGGGGTGGGTGTTCTTGTTTCTGGTTCGATCTGGGAAATCCATATAGGCGACTGTTGAGGGTTGGTTTCTTTTCCTGTTCCCTTTCGGTTGCCCCCGTATAGGGTTTAGGGTTTAGGGCCCCCTATGCGGAGGAGTTCAGGGTTGTGGTATTAAGGAAGCGAACCACACATTCACTCACTGGACCGGTTGGCCCAGTGGAATGTCCAAACCTCAAACCCGAACCCTGGGGCCTGGAACGAGTTTCAGAATGCTTCCCGTTTGCTTTGCACATCTACAACCCTCTATCCTCGCGGGCCTTGTCCGACCGAAAACGGCCTGTGTCAGTCCTTTCCCCCATTTGCTGCAGCTAAAACTCCCGAAACGCATCAACTGCCTCTGGGGCGTGGGTTTTGGTCCCGTCTACATTACATATTTTGTGATGCCTGTGATGAGTTTATCCCATCCACCGATCATGAAGAAGAGTTCTCTGCAGCAAACGATTCTACTTTCCCCGACGCTCTCTGGGCGACAAGTTGAAAGCTGCAACCCTGGATGCAATAAGAGCAAGGCCTTCTGCAATACGCAACAAGCAGAATTACTCTCGAGACTTAAATAAAAAAGTGCTACACCCGCGCTACGTACGGCAGGGAGCTGGCCGAAGGTCGCTAAACTCAAACTCTAGACCTCTCCAACGCCTTCTGACTTGCAATCTGAAGACTCGCTGCTCCAAGGATGGCCTAGGGTTTAGGGTTTAGGGTTTAGGGTTTAGGGTTTAGGGTTTAGGGTTTAGGGTGGCCTTCCAAGCGCATCCGCCCCAGAAGTGCTAAGGCGGATTGCCAGGTGGCGGCCTTCTCCTCGGGTTCCCTATAAATGCTAAGCACTATCGGGCTCAGATACCCTAAACCCTAAACCGGAACAAGGATGGGATAGCGGGCTCTGGGTTCGTCCTATCAAACTAGGGCTGCTCGGCTACCCCCAGACCACGGCCTTCAACAACCAGCATCCCACAACAATTCGCGGATGCAATTGTGGAGAATCAACAACGGAACAACAAACAACATGCTTCACAAATATATGAGTAATATATGAGTAATGTATGAGGAATATATTATGAGAAATATATGAGCAATATATGCTTCCATGCCAAGAACCCCAGCCCGCTTTGCAAGAAACACATACCCGTGGATGAGGCGGTGTTAACACGTGTTAACCCAACCGTGCCAGAAGAGACGCCTGCTGAAATATCTGACCCACAAAACAGAAGAGGATGGGCTCCCGACCCTTAAGCTACAGTAGTCTGATGTCTTCCGTGAGCTGAGCCGTTGACGGCCATAAGTCTAGAGGACAACTTTGATTCTCAAGAGTAACTTACTTCTCCCATAACCACGGGAACACAAGGTTCTATTCTTCCTGCTGAATGGAACCCAACTAGTCTAAAGCTCAACTATTGTCTACGTACGGTCTTGCGCGCACCAGGGTCACAGGAGCTGATGGCGGCACTGCAGCACACCGTATCCTTGCGTGTTGTGACGTTTTGGGATTTTCGGCTTTCGGCTTCGTTGGCTCGGGTTTAAGTTACTTGTAGAGTTCTTAAGGGAGGGGGTTGTGTAACCCAAGGTTCCCAAATACTCCGCCCTCCTCCCTAAGGCTCCCGAAGGCTTCCTAGGTAAGTTCTGAACAACTCGCCAAACTGCCACCCTGCCCTCCAAAGAGTTGGGTCCGACATGGTCCTACTTGGGGTCGCAGAGGCTTTGGGACATCGGTTGGGACATTCTGGGGTTTAGGGTTTAGGGTTTAGGGCTCAAGGCACCCCAAACTTCAGACTCCAACCTCAGACCGCTTCTGAAGCGGCAGCTGAAACCACAACCTTTCTCCAAAAGTCCCCCCTCCTACTAAGCACTGCAAGAGGCAAGTCATGGCAAGACGGGCCCCGAACACTCCAAACCCTCTTCGCGGGAGTGCGGAGAGGCCGCCCTTATAAACTTAGACACCCCCACAGTTGCCCTCTCAACCCGTGCCTTCTGGAGGGCCACGCGGCCCATATCCTGAGGGAAATCTCGCGGCTCAGCTTCAATTTCAAAGCTTCCAGAGAAATTGGTCTAGGGTTTTGAGTCGACGGGAATGTGAGACTTAACATCCCAGCCGCTGAAACAGCCACCCCGCCTCCCTGCATGGCAACCGGCTGTCGTTCAAGCTAGTTCAGCAGTTGGGGTTTAGGGTTTAGGGTTTAGGGTTTAGGGTTTAGGGTTTAGGGTTTTGGGGAAATCCCTCGACTTTCACACCCGCGCAAGGCCGCGCAGGGCAGGAACACTTTACACCTTGCGCCAGCTTGGCCCTGGCAAGTCTCCTCAAGCAAGCCCAGCGCGTGCTGCCAAAGGCCTGGGGCCCATGACACCATGCGTCTGGGTCACCAAACAGGGGCTTCTGCTCTATTCTTGGGTTCCGACTTGGGGGGCATCGTGGGCCTTGGGGCTCCCCAGAAAAAATAAACCCTTGAATCCTTTGGGTTTCAGCAATGGAGCCCTCGCCTACGTCATCTCTGTCTCCCTTCATGCGACGACTGCTTGTGGTCCAGGTTCGGAAATGCGACATGTTGAATGCAGGCGGAATAGACCAAGCTGCCAGCTTTTTCCCAAGCGCGAATGCAGACGCCGTACGTGATGTGGTCCTGAAGGCGTGGTTGAATCAGGGCAGAGTCTATAAGTAATGTTCAATAGGACAAGCATTTTCGATGTCGGCCGAGGCGTCAGGCTGTAGGAGGTTTGGCAAATCCCTTTTTGATGCCGCTGCCTTGGCGGATACCGCAATGGCCTCTCCCCGCCTCTCCTCGCCCACGAAAAGCCTCAAAAACCTATAGCCTAGGACCAGAAATATCCGGCAGACCTTGAAGTTCCTACTACACTCTGATAGCGAAAGCAGTGCCAGCAGTTCCGAGGCCACTTGCCATCATCCTAAACCCTAAACTCTAAACCCTAAACCATGAGTCCTTCGGGGCTGCCTTGTCCGACATCTGCTGCCCGAGCTGCAGCGCCAGCTCCCACTGGTGACCCTTCTCGCAGGCACTGATGGTGGTGTTGTAGGCCACGGTGCTCCTGTTGTGGTTTAGGGTTTAGGGTTTAGGGTTTAGGGTTTCGGGTTTAGGGTTCGGCATCTCAAGTCCAAGCATTCACTAGTCAAGAAATTATTCCAGAAAAATACCACCCGCCCAAAGAATCCCATAACATTAAGAAAATATTTCACTTATAGAACGACCTTGCCCAGCAAAACAAATGACCTTGCCCAGTAAAACAAAAATAACCTTGCCCAGTAAAATAAATGACGTTGCCCAGTAAAAAACTATCTTGCCCAGAAAAAATATGACCTTGCCCAGTAAAAGAGTTACTGGGCAAGGTCATTTATTTTACTGGGCAAGGTCATGTTTTTTTACTGGGCAAGGTCATTCTTTGCTGGGCAAGGTCGTTTTTTGGACCGAACGACCTTGCCCAGTAAAAAATATGACCTTGCCCAGTAACTCCCCCAACATTCATATTATATATGAAAGAGAGGTTTAGGGTTTAGGGTTTAGGTTTAGGATTGTCTGCATGCAGGCGAGGCTTGGGAGGCTGGACCATTATTTGATGAAGAGTCGGCCGACATTTCCCTGATAATCAGGACCCCAATAAGGTACCCTGATTTCGGACTCCCCCATTTCAAACCACGTGAGCAGCATCCCTAAACCCTAAACCCTAAACCCTAAACCCTGAACCCTAAACCCTAAACCCCAAACCATCCTGTGAACAGGAAGTTCTGCGGGCGGACGCGCGAGGAGGCGGACAGCCAATGGCCAGGCTCCGGATGCCTCGCCTGAGCCAAGGCCCACGAAAGAATTCTTGGGGGAGGGTTTGTGGGTTTGTGGGTTTGAGGGTTTAGGGTTTAGGGTTGTGGGTTTAGGTTTAGGGTTTTGGGGCAGCTCGAGAGTTAGGGGGTTTTGGGTTTGGGGTTTAGGGTTCGTTGATATGTGGCGAGGACAAAACATGGCAGTTGCTGGCGCGGTTTTCATGATGAGATGCCAGGCGCCACCAGTGCTCCTGACATGAAGCATCTCGAGGACAAGATGCACACGCTGAGGCAGGCGTTGAGGTGGATCTCATTCGGCTGCAGCCGCTGTTCCGCCATGCACTGAAGCCTGGGACGGAAGTTCAAGGCTTCAGTCCAAACCCGCTTTGGGGAGCAAAGTGACACAAAGCGACACAACGAGACGGTCAATTCCGACGGCGAGGGACTGTTTTGCCTGCAAATCTTTTAGGCATTCTTGCTTCGTGGTGCTGTGAAACAGAGATATGTGGCTATGGAACTCAGATAGACAAGGCCTTGGGGCATCTTGGGTCCAAACGTGCAAGGGAGCCAAACATGTGAAACCAACAGAGGTATCGACCACACCGATGCATTCTTTCAATCTTTCCCACGTGGTGTATTGGATGCTGACATTTCAGGGCGCGTCGAAGGTGTGGCAGTCGGAAGGTACGCGTGCCCGTTGCTGGCCAGTCTCAGGAACGCCCAGGAAGTGAGGTCCCTAACGTAGCGGACGGTCACAACCACCAGCCTATCCGGCCGGCCCTTGAGTTCGGGGGGACGGGCCTCGTCTATCGCAAGTTGCCTTGCAGAGTCCACTCGTGCTCTTTGATATGCCTAGCTGCAACAGCACCGCCAGCTTCGGCCGCCGTGCAGCACGCAAGGCGACGAGAGCCTGCCGGAAGGAGCTGTGGACGCAGGCAAGAAGATGCAGCTACGCTCCCCTGCCACCACTTTCTCCCACCAGGTCCTCGAACCAACAATAACACCAGCACCGCCAACAACGAGAAAGGAACATAAGACCATGACCCACAAGTCTGAATCAAGTCGCGACCTGTTCTATGCGCCCGCGCTCCGCGTTCTCGCCTCCCCCCCCCTACCCCAAACCCCGCACAAGCCCAAACCCTGAACCCTAAACTAAACCCTCCATGAACTACAGGGGCAAGGGGGAAAACCCTGAAACCAAAACCTAAACCCAAAACCCAGCATGAACCACAGGGGGGGATACCATGGGGAGGAGCAGGGGTCAGGGGGGGGGGGGGGGGACATGAATGCTAATATGAAGAAGTGAGGCCTTCCCAAGATATGCCCCAGAGTCCAGGGAGCCCTGCCGGGATTTTTCTTCAGAGAGATGCAGACCTACCGCCTACTGCCCCAGATGCCTTGGTGGCACGTCGGGGCTGAGAAAAGCGTGAAGCATTTTCCTTGAGGAATCGCTGCCTGGGATCAACAAGTCAAGTAGGGGAGGTCAGGGCTGCGGACAGAAGAAACAGAAGTCTGAACAAGCCTAGGTGGGGGTTTACGATATTAGGGGTACCTTATTGGGGCCCTTATTATACGGGGCATCCTGCCATTTGGGGCTCCCCTCTTTTCGTAAAGCCCAAGGTTACTTCCAGTACCGAACCTGCTGTGGACATGCCCTCTTGGCGTATTGCAAGTTCGCTCGTTGCTGGAGAGCAGCACTGCTCCTGCGCACGTGGTCTTTGACATACTCTCGGATTGTCGTAGCCACTATGAATGGAGCCAGCAGCACGACAAACACGGGGTCTGCGGCTTCCTATTTAAAGGGTGTGATTTGCTATGGCCTTGCTGTCTGTCACAGCGGGCCTCATTCTTCTCCATTTCTTCCTATCCTTGCTCTTGCCCCTAGGATTTAAAACCCAAAGCGGCTACTTCTTCTACACCTTGTTGAGTAATTACTCCTCTCTGTTCCAGGGTTGGGTTTTTGGCTTTGGGATGAAGAGTGGTGGGGCGGCGGGGTTGGGGGGGGGGGGGGGGTGGGGGGGGGGGGAAGGTGGCTGCTGCCTCTTTTCTGCCACACCACAGCTCAGATAAAAAACGTGCGCACACCCCTTGAGCCCGCGAAGCGCACGACAGGCAGAAACAGTCGACGAAGTAACTACGCCATGATCTTCAAACAATCTTACGTTAGCCCAACACCTTGGCCCCCCCTTCCTGAAGCCCTGCAGGAAACTAATAACTTAAGAAACTTCACAAGTAACCGACATGGGAGCTTAAACGCCTAGCACGCTGTCATGAGATATTTCAATATACGTCATGGGGTTTCAAGAGTTGCACAGGGTCAGAGGACTTCACCGGATCGGATTTCAAATTCGGTTTTTGCAGCCATGAGGGCAACCATGACTGGTCACAAGATTGCATATCAGCTCATGCAAAATTGAGTACGTCGTTTATTTCTTCTCTGCTTCCTTTCCTTCCTGTGTTCCGTACATTGCTTGCTACCTGATTCCTTCCTCTCTTCTCCTCCTTCAGACCCTCTTCAAAAAAAGGGAAACAGCAGGCTTCCAACTAACACGCATGGAAACCGGACCAAAAATACTTACAACGCGCACAAAGAGCAAACCAAGCCATTCTCTGAGACTGGCAGGTGGGTCCCCCCGAGATCTCAGGGCTTCTACGAGTACGTGAGAAAGTAAGCCTCTCTTGTAAGCACGGAAGAAGGGGAGTGAGAGGGTTTAGGGTTTAGAGTTTCGCCTGTAGGGCTTAGGCTTAGGGTTTAGGGCTAAGCCCAAAGCCATGCTTCCCATTTGACAGCTCCTCTGTCATCTGCAAGTCGCAGCAGCTCGTGCTCATCTGCCGGCATCGGCAGCGCATGGCGTGCAATCGACTGATTCGACCAGCCAAGGCCCCATCAAACACATGCTCCTTCTGATGCAGGCCTGTGGGGGCCCTAATTCGAACCCGAGGCTTCCGGTAGCAGGCATGATGTGCACCCTGAAGAGGTCGAAGCCTCTAACCTACCTGGAGATTCAGCGGATACAGTAAAACCTATTGGGGACCACATGAACCCTAAAAGGGTTCAGTGTCGATATGCTTTAATAGGAATTATAGCAGTATAGAGTACATAACCCCATCTGTGATGTGGTCAAACTGGAACATGGCAGGCATGGAGATGCTGTGAGACCTTGAGCCTCCTGAGCTCGGGGTTTAGGGATTAGGGCTCAGCTTTTGAGATGTCACGACAGCAAGAGCTCGACTGCCGGCTGAACATCCTACTCCCGATCCTTCTCCACAAACGCCCGCACCTTTACAAGTCCTTCATAGTTTCTCACCTCTTGCACGGTGCCAATCACAGAGCAAACAAACAACAAGCTTGCAGAGTCGAGCCAAGCCAAAGTGTTTATCTTGGACCCGGGAAAGGACACCAAAATTGCAGGACCCGATTCGACCACAAGCACGTAGATCCGACAAGCCCGTCTCGCCACACCCATAGCACCTTGCGCACCGTTTCGAAAAGCTCGGTGTCGCAGCCCAGCATCATCTCGTGCAGCCACATGTCATCCTCGGAGGTCGTCGATTCCGGCCGGTTGTGGTTGAGGGTTTAGGGTTTAGGGTTTAGGGTTTTAGGGTTTTAGGGTTTAAGGATACCTTCTTGGGGTTTCGACTACAAAAGAGGATCCTACTAGTTGGGGACCTATTTTAGGGGCCCCTTGTTTTCCTAAACCCCCCGTTTGGGAATGCTTGGGACACGCCAATGTCCGATGGCCATCAGCAGTGGCTGACGTTGGAGATTTCTAGCTTTCATGCGCGAGTCCGGCCTGCCTAAGCATGCCTACCTCTGCGAGGGACTAGGGTTTAGGGTTTAGGGTTCAGGGTTTAGGGTTTAGGGTGTAGGGTTTAGGGGAGCATGCACACTGACTAGCAGGTCTAGCACTTTGAGCACCTGGTTTCTGCCGCCTGGCAGCTTGGCGCCGTGCAAGCAGTTCGGGCTTCGGGCTTAGGAGTCAGAGTATAGGAGGGTCATGGCGCCAAACTGCATCCACGTTATTCCACGTCGGGTGAAACTCGGTGTCCCAGTGCTTGTGGTAAACACCTCGAAGTGGGGTCGGATGCCTCTTTGGGTAGTCTTTTGCTCTGGTCAGTTTGTGGCCGCACCCCGCGGGCCGAAGGGCGCGCATCTTGTCTTAGAAGAAACTACGAGTAACACCCGAAGGTTAACCAAAAAGACTGCCCTGTAGAATCGGGCTTAGAAAAGGCCCTGCGTGGCAGTTCCAGGCACACTGACGAGACCATCCAGGATTGCTTTCTTTCTCTGCTGGAACTCTTCCTCGGTGATCAGGTCTTGCTGCCGCATCTTTTGCAGTTCTGCCAGCTTCTCCGAGCTTGAGGATTCCGCCCCGGACGCGGAAGTCATCTTCTGCTGCTTCGGGGCTCGTTTTTCGGGGTTGGCCTTTGCCCACTGCTGCTGCCTCCTCAGCGCCTCCGCAAAAAGCGTAGGAGAGGGCATCTCCAAACGTTTAGTCTCCGCAACCTGGCTGGCCATCGATCCAATGATGTCACCAGAAACCAGCTTCCCATTAACGCGAACCGTTGGGTCCTTTACGTGCCGATGGATAATGTCGCCTTCCACCCCCTTGCCCTGGATATGAAGACCAGGCACCGGCGGGGTGAAGCGCGCTTGGCAACACCCAGTGACGCCCTGCTGGTGCCTTGCAAAGACGTTGTCCTCGACAACCACGTCTGAAATGTCAGTCAGAGGGTACACTTTGTCAACATGGTTTCTCCGCAGCTTAAACGTCGGCATCTCGGCTGGCCGGTCATACATCTTGCCCCCGCCAGCCTGGTTGATGCCCTCAGCATCCTGGAGGTCGTTGCCTTCTTCCTGGATGCCGTTGCCTTCTTCCTGGGCGTTGCTGCTTTCAATTTCTTTGCCGTCCTCTTTCTCCAAGGTCTCGGGTGACCAGAAGACTATTGCAAGGTGCCGTGGGAAGATGAGAAACCAGGTGCCAGCTGCAACCACCGCTTCTCGAGTCGCCTTCTTCGCGCAATCTCCTAGGATGGCCCTTAGGGCTTAGGCTTTAGGGTTTAGGGTTTCGGGTTTAGGGTTTAGGGTCTTGAAAAATATGAAATATCCCACAAGGGCCTACCGAGTCTCCCTTGTCAGAGTAGGCATCACAGAGGAGCCAGGCATGGCAGGGGCAGCAGAGGACCCAGCAAGGGACGCAAGCGGGGCCCGGGACTTGAGCGCAGGAGGCCATGAACTTCTCGTGGCCTAGTTCATGGCTGAGGGTTTAGGGTTTAGGGTTTCCGGTTTAGGGTTTAGGGTTTAAGTACCCTTAAAAATGTAAAATGGCACCCAACTATGACCAAGTGGCCCCGCATCCACACCTCCCGGGTCCTCCAGTCCATGCGCCCAAATGCAACCGTGTCGCCAAGCTCCTTACTTCTCCAAAAACCAAGGAGATAAAAAGGTTCAACTTTATTGTTCCTACTAAGTAAGGGAGCCCAAAAAGTTGAAAGTTCAACCCTAAGCAAGGCTCTTTCAGCACATTGTCCGTGGAGATGAACTGCTTCAAACCCGGATGCAGCTCCGTGGGATCCATGGCAGTGGTTGCAGGGTTTTTTTCCCACCCATTTCGCAAGCGTTTCAGGGGTTTAGGGTTTAGGGTTTAGGGTTTAGGGTTTAGGGTTTAGGGTTTGGGGATAGCTCTTGTCCCACGTCCACGTCCCAAGTCCAGTTTCAAGCCGCACTCAATCAGAATAAGGGTCTTGAGGGCAGTCATTGATAAAGATGTTTAGGGCTGAGTACAACGTGGCAATGAAGCAGATATGACTCTGTCCCTGTCTTCTGCTCTTGCAGAACAACGTTTGCTTCGGAAAATCTGCGAGCCGACGGAGCGTCTCCAGCAAAAGGCGACGGATTCTTCCCTCCCGAACGACTGGGGGTTGCTTCTGCCAGACAATTCAGCAACCCTGCAATCCCTGCACCTGAAGCACCCCTGAATTCCGCGCCAGCGACTTCCGAAGTCCATCTCAGATCGATTCAGCTCACGGCAATTCCAGCTTGGATTCGGTCCAGCTCGTGATCCGCACGCCTGGCTGAAATCTTTCTCAAAAGGAAGCTGTGCAAAGAGCACGTGATTCTCCATGTCCAGATCCACTTCATCCGACTCCGACACGCTGAAATGGGACTTTACGAAATCAAGGGACCCTAAGATGGACTTTCTGATAGGTAAAGGATTCCCTTCTAATAAGGAGGAAAGGCACCCCGAAATATGGTAACCCCCATATGTATACTAACAGTCCTCAATAGGGAGGTCTAGGGTTCCCTTCTTATAAGGACGCCAAAAAAAGGTACCCCGAATGTCGGAAACCCCATACCCCTAAACCCTACACCCATAAGGGTGTTTCCCAAAATAGGGGTACCCCTTTTTTATACCCCAGATGAATAGGGCCCCAAAATGGTACCCCGAATTTCGAAACCCCCTATCCCTAAACCCTAAACCCTAAACCCGCTGAAATCGACGCACTTGAACCCGCTGCCCGAGAGCCATAACGGCCTCCGCCAATGCAGCAAGTTGCGGAAGATCTGGCCTTTGGCTTCTGAAAGGGTTTAGGGTTTAGGGTTCGGGTTTACGTTGGTAGAAACGGGTTGCCACTGGTTGCCGTGACCTTGTTATCCCAAGGCGGCTGGCGCAGCTCTAAGTGCGCTAAGTGAGGGCAAGCAGATCAGATTTCCTTGTCCGTCCAATTCGTGCCACCACATGGGGGGTTTCCGAACATAGGGGTACCCCGCTCAGGGGTCCCTTTAAGGGGAATCTGTTCTATTTGGGGTATAAAAGGGGTACCCCTATGTTCGGAAACCCCGACATGCCACCACGGCCTTCGAAAACTGAAGGAGGGGATGGTCAAGTAGGGTTTAGGGTTTGGGGTTTGGGGTTTGGGGTTTAGGGTTTAGGGTTTAGGGTTTAGGGTTTAGGATGGTCAAGTTGTCAAGGCTCCCACCGAGAGGGAGCGATGCTCGAGGCAGCACTCCAGGGGACAACCTCAGGAAGAGATGGGTATTTCCCCAAACAGGGGCACCCCTTGTGTGCCCTTAAACAGAACAGAATCCCCTCAAAGGGATGCCAACAAGGGCACCCCCTTTTGTCGGACACCCGCAAATCTCAGGAAATCTCTGAATGACGAGATGACTGGACCATGAATCGCTAAAAGAGGCGCCCTAAACCCTAAGCCCTAAACCCTAAACCCTGAACCCTAAACCCATTTTTTTGAACCCAGAATCCTGAAGCTGGGAAAGGCCTTCGACCAACTTTCTGCCTAGGCAACCCGAAACCCAAGCCGAAGATGAAGGCCTGGGCCCCGGGCGTCTGGGACGAGCCGGTGCTGCTCCTCGCTCTTCCAAACTGGGTGAATGGACAGCTTAGAGCCTGAAACTCTTGGGCAGCTTCCAGAATCGGATATAAGGGGTCCCAATAAGAAGAATAGGGTTGCGGGAGTTCTTGTAGTATATTTATATAGGGACCGCAAGGGGATACTCTTCGTAAGCTTCCGAACCCTATATTCGTTGGCGGTGCCACTGCTACCACTTACTCCTCGCATTGGGGCCAACCTGCTGGAAAGTGCAGACGTCAAGAGGGACTGCCAGCCCCCACCCCGACGCCCACGAGAGCTCGGTCCTTGGTATTGGAGATGAGCGTGTCGGTGGGCTTTCTGGCACGGCAAAATATCGAGTGTCGGCAGCCAGTAGGTCGAATTGTGTGGGGAATTGCGTGTATGCAGCGCGTGACACTGCTTCATCGAGAGCCTAAACTGCTCAAACCAGTCGCACGGCCCTTGCGCATGGGACAGGCTCTTGACGGCGGAGTGCTGAGTCGTAAGGGTCTCTCTTTACAAATTTATTGAGTCTCGACATGCTTTGACCCTAGCCATTTGCTCAGACAGGGGGTAGGATTAGGGGGACCCTTGGGACATAGACCCTCTGAATAAGGTCCCTGTTCAAGAGAGCCCCTATTAAGGGTCCCCCTTATCCTACCTACTATGTCAGACCTCACGGCACGACAGTGTGCCTACGATCATCGTCGCGGCCTCGCAGCAAAGTCGCTCCATGTCACGCTCAACGACTCAATGGCAAAACAGGTGAGCTGATCCCTAAACCCTAAACCCTAAACCCTAAACCCTAATCCCACTTACATCCACTTACAATGCTTGACCCAACCCTTGGGGTGAAACCCATGCTTCAACCCAGAAGCTGACCGTGGGTGGCCGTGAAAGCTGGAATTTTCCCCCCGCTAAGCCCTAAACCCCAAACCCCAAACCCCAAACCCCAAACCCTAAACCCTAAACCTTCCACGAACATGAAAGCTGGGAGCTTGGGAGATGGAGATGACAGGTGGCATGCCTTCTTCTTCGCGCGGCGCTTCCACGGCACCGTGGGCATGCGAGCTTTGACCTGGCTTTGTGTTGGCTTGAACAAATTCAGGGTTTAGGGTTTAGGGTTTAGGGTTTAGCGTGTTTTTTGGGACCGTCTCAGCTGATGCTGCAGAAAGAGTTATGTCTTATGCATGCGGAAGTAGTTTGGAACCATCCTGCCACGAGGTGGTCTTGTGAAATTCCAAGACCCCTAAGTTGTCTCTTCGTGCTCGATCGGTCTTGCAGTGATCCGACAGGGGAGCAGCAGCCTGTGAACCCTAAATCTTGACCCCTAAACCCTAAACCCTAAACCCTAAACCCTAAACCCTAAACCCTAAACCCTAAAGGGGAGGGGGACTGCAGTGCGACTTGCCCTCCTAGGCGCCTGGCGAAGCCTCTAACCCAGCACTACTGGCTGGCACCACAAGCAAGCTGCACGTGTCGCGGCCACCCTACTGGCACAACTTGAGCCCCAAACCCTAAACCCTAAACCCTAAACCCTAAACCCTAAACCCTAAACCCTAAACCCTAAACCCTAAACCCTAAACCCTCAATTAAATTACGTAGAAGCTTCAGAGAATCCGTGGGCTGGCCGCAGATTGGGGCCCCTGCACGGCTGCTCATCTCGGAGGCGGAGCTGAATATACTTCGGGTTGCGGCCTCGTTTTCATCGCGCACACTCGGACAAGCCAGGCGAGGCACACGCTGAAGCTGAGGCTGGAGGAGGGTTTGGAATTGAGCTCTCAGAGTTTTGCAAATCGTGCACGTGACATGGCTTTGGGAGTTTGGGTTAGAGGGCGATGTGGAATGTTGGGGGGGGCAAGGGCCGGGAAGGGAAACGCAGATCTCCATGAACTAGATGCACCTCGCTGTGGGGCTGTACTTCAGTGTATCGACTTCCTTAGGCTTGTGCGGCACCCCTTTTTTTGCACAGGCACTCAAACGCAAAACGTAGCAAGAATTGGGACCAGGTGGTCCTGTCCATTGCTGGCCGCCAGATCTTCCTGTCAAATGACAATCCGACGTTCTCCGGTCTTTTTTTTGGGCACCTTAAGTTCAAACCATGCTTTCCTAAGTGCGGACAAGTTGCTGGCAGGTCCCCGCGATCATTTGCAAGCATTTCAGCCCCAAACTCCAGAAAGAGCTGAGTCAACTCTCCGTCACCCAACATGGCTGCAATTGCTAAGGGTGTGATGCCAGGTAGGGCTGCCACCCGCCTGGTAGTTAATGAGCCGGAGGCCTGGCCCAAGCCAGTGCGCGCACGCGCTGCCAAGGTAAGCACCTGGTACTTTCCACTGGGACGTGCACGCATGTCGATGTCAGCACGCCAAGCCAGCAGCAAGCGGGCGGTCTTTGCCGAATACCTGTTGCAATGCCGGGCAAAGCCGGCGACACCGTGCAAAGGGCCATAGCCGGCTCCACTGAGCTCGGGGTTCGGGTCACAAAGCGCCTCAAGCATTGCAGCCACCGTGTCCGTGTCAGCCGAGGACGACGCCCCGGTAAGCGGCGCCAAGCCGAGAGGTACGCACGTGGAGTGTAAGTCGGCCTTAGCCTCCACCAGCACCTGCACATGCAGCGCGGACCGAACGTAGAAGGCACAGTTCAGCCCGCTGCGGTCTCTTGCATTTACATCCGCCCGAAGCTCCAGCAGGGTTGAGAGCACCTCTGGCTTCTGATGCGATTTCGCCGCTACCATGAGCAGCGTCTGACTGTCGTAGAATCCCAGCTCGCTCAAGCCAGAGACACGGTGGTTGATGTCGGCCCTGCGCCATATAAGCCTGGCCAGCATGCGAGTGTCCCCAGCAAGCACGGCACACAAGGCCCCGCTGGCGGTCTGGTCGAAGAGCGCCTCATGCGAAGCAGTCTCCAATCTAACGTCACTAGCAGGAAGCGCAACCAATCTAACGTCACTAGCAGGAAGCGTAACCGATGGTGCGAACATGAGCCGACTGTAAGAAACAACTTGGTCCAATCTCCAACTCCAAACCTCTCTGCCCATCAGATGAGTAAACGCCCTCGACCACCCACTCCCAATGTGGGAGTGCGTAAACACGGGACCCCGAATATGTATCAACAGGACCCTCTGCTAACGAGGTATCCCAAGAAGGGACCCCTAATATGTCCCAAACTAATCGGACCCCCTTCCATTAAGGACCCCCCAAAAAAGTACCCGTAAACCCTAAACCCTAAACCCTAAACCCTAAACCCTAAACCCTAAACCCTAAACCCTAAACCCTAAACCCTAAACCCTAAACCCTACTCTCGGAAACCCCCATATCTTGCTCCAGCCATGGCCCAGGGGCATCTTGGAAGCTCGGAAAGCGAAAGCTCTCCAAAAATCCTTGAAGCTTGGGGGGGCGGGGGAGGGGTAGGGTTGTTTTAGGGTTTAGGGTTCAGGGTTCAGGGTTTAGGGTGTAGGGCATAGGGTGTAGGGTTTGGGAGGGGAGGGGGGGCGACGGAGTCATTGAAAGTTCGTTCCATGCACATGTTCGGGCTCAAAAGGCAAACCGAAGCCGCTACATTCACAAGGGGCTTGCGCATTGAAGCTGTGGTTCGGCCTCAGGTTTCCCGGAGCCTGAACACTCGAAACCGTGAAATCCCTAAACCCCTGAAGAATATATCATGCAGAAGAAGCTACCAGGATCAAACCGGAATGAAAACCTGTCCGACATGCTGAATGGCAAAGGATAGCATAGCAGCCGTGGTAGCAGTAGACGAGTACTGGCGGTCTTGTAGGTATTCACCACTACAGTTATTACTAGAGCTCGCCTAAAAGCCATGAAGAATTTGCAAGTGCACCACTACACACCACCAGGGCGTCAGGTACTGCATCTTTCTTGGCAACCCCCCTCAACTCTAAACCCTAAACCCTAAACCCTAAACCCCTAAACCCTAAACCCTAAACCCCTAAACCCTAAACCCTAAACCCTAAACCCTAAACCCTAAACCCTAAACCATTGAATTCAAGGAGCCCACCAGATCCCAGGGAAGGGTCGGCCGGCCAAGGAGCTTCGCTCGGTAGGCCACGTAGAAACCTGAGCTTCAGGAAACGCGTGCCAGCAGGAGGGGGGGGGGGGGTTAGGGTTTAGGGTTTAGGGTTTAGGGTTTGGGGTTTGGGGTTTGGGGTTTGGGGTTTGGGGTTTGGGGTTTGGGGTTTGGGGTTTAGAGTTTATGGTTTCGGCTCTCACACTCGCACAAGGCAAGCAAGGATTCGGTCGGAAGGTCCACTCACTGCGGAAATTCATCGGGATTCCCTGTCTCACGAAAGGAAACAGCAAAGATAACTCGCAAGCATGCCAACATGTCAAGTAGGAATCCATTCGATGTACCTAAACTTCCTGGCCACACAGTAGCATTGACCGTGCACAGCCCGCTCCACACTTAGGGATCAGACATACGATGACGAGATCTTCGTCCACTCGCCACTAGAACACTCCCCTTCACCCACCCATGAGTGCCGACCAGACTAATATACCCATGTTTGAAAAAGGGGTACGGGGGGCCAACGAAGTTAGAGTTTAGGGTTTTAGGGCTTAGGGTCTAGGGAAGCTTGGGGGGTTTTGGTTTTTGGCGTCAGGGGTCAGGCCTTCAAAGTCTGAAAGGGATTTGGTGCTGTGCTCCGTGGCCACTTGCGTGCGCGCGGCTTGTCACCTGCCTTTGAGCTTTCTTGCAATCCCTGAAGTACTGCCGAAGATTTTGCTCGGCTCTATGCAAGAGGTGTTTAGGAATTGCGGACTGCCCGCTGACCCACCCGCTGCAAAGCCTCGAAAAGAAAATGCTTCTAGTGAGCATCTCGGCAACGGTAAAGACCAATGGGGCCCTCCATGCCTAGGTGCCGGATCTTGCTGTCCACGGCGACTTCGCTGAGCTTGACCACCACCGCCCGGTCGCTTTCGACGGTGAACTCGCCCTCTGCCACGGTGTTGTGCTGCCAGTCCAGAGGAAACATGAACTCAGCTTCCAGTGCAGAATGTACCAGTATGACGCTGGTGTCGGGCTTGTTGGAGAGCAGGTGGCACCAAAGCTCGGCACGGCACCATCCTTAACTCTGGGGGCAGATGTACAAGACACTGCACGAGAAAAAGGGTTTAGGGGTTTAGGGGTTTAGGGTTTAGGGTTTAGGGTGAGGAGGTTGAAGAAGACGGCAGCGTATGGCAGAATGTTCTCTCACAAGCCGGTGACGATTGATGGGGAGATTGCGGCTTGCGAGTGTCATGCCTGCTGCGTGTACTGGAGCTTTAGAGTTCATTGAAAGGATCGAGTTCCACCTAAGCATTTTCATGCTCAGCTTGCCCAATACGCGCGGTCTACCCCTCCAGGAAAACACCTCATTGTACACCCACCTTTGAAAGGGCGCATTAAAGCTGAGTGTGTCCACTTCTGTTACGATATATAGAGCAACTGTCACATGGCGACTGTGAATCAGTAAGCAATAGCCCAGTATAGGCTTGTGCGTGGCAACCGTCTGGCGGAGGACATTCAGAGGGAATCTCCATCGTTCGACCTGGAGCATGCGTTGTTCTTTTGCGTTTTGTCGTGCATTTTTCAGAGTCGTAGAGCATTCGTTGACATCTAGCAGGCACAACTTCTGGCAGTGAAGGGTGTGCAGCTTTGAGAAAGCGCCTTAACAAAAGACTCATGTGGGAGTCTACGAACATAAGGGACCCCCATTATAGATCCCCAAAAAGTAGGATCCCCTTATAGTAAGGACCCCAATAGGGTGCCCCTATTGTAAACCCACATGTGCTAAATCTCAACCCGGCATCCTCGACCTAGCCACGACGGATAGTTGCAGCGCGTGCCACGGGTCACGTGAGTCAACTCTGGCACCAAGGCCACAAACAAGTCAGAGGACTCCACGTAGGACGGGATGCTTTGAACAGCAAGGGCTGCCTTCGACTGTGCATCTTCGTTCACTCCTTCGTGCCGTGCGGTGAGCTGGGGGATGGCAAACCAGTCCAGAAAGAGAAATCCCTCTTGGACCTGCCTGCGGACAGCACCTGGTAGTTCGCACCTCCCCCGACCTTTGATGAGTGAGATCATGTCATTTTCGACGTGCACAGTTCCCTCGATGATACCGCAGAGGCTTTGCCGGAGAACTGCCATCTGCTTCCCATGTGGATCGGGATGCGTGGCCGCCAGCCACTGGTGAGACACGAAAATCACAAACATTCCTGCTGGGCTGTGACGACTTGTGTTGAGGGCTTCGTAGGTTCATTGGCATGCACAGGGGTGTGGACAACCTCAATACCATGACCCAAACCCAGAGACCTATAGAAGGCAAGCTCATGTTTGGAGGCCGCATTCCAAAACCAATTCTTGGCTCCACACCGCAACCCCTCCCAAAAGCAAGCTTTCGACGATCCCATCTCGACCTGCCTGGGTACCAAATGTGGAGCAAACCTTTTTGCTCCAGCACGTGGTGGGGCATCGGGGCTCCTTCCATATTCCTGAAGCTGTCCGAATCCCAAAGACATAACCCGACCACCGATCAGCTACGTCGACCGCTGACCACTGCCCATGCTTCCACAAAGTGACCGTAGCACAAAGGAAACCTAAACCCTAAACCCTAAAACCCAAAAAAAAACCTTGACTTAGCGTGCCAGAGCTGCAGGAAGTCTGACACCTGCAAGGGCCGATGCTTCCCGGCGTCTACAATACTTGGAGGTTCATGGTAGTTAGTAAGGGAATAGGGCTTAGGGTTTAGGGTTTGGGGTTACTTGGAGGTTCATGGTACTTACTAACCCAACTAGAACTGTTCTTATCACCGAATAACCTTATTAGGGGAGTTGAGGGCTCATAAGTGGGTTATAAGTACCGTTATGACTGGTTACTAAGTGCCATGAACCTCCAAGCATTCTACACACAGTTCAGGCTTAAGGAGCCGGGGCAATGTAAGAATGTTGCAGCGTTCCACTGAGCAAAGCAGTGACCGGGCACTGGCTACGAGCCTAAACCAACTTCGAGGGCGGCCCCCTAAACCCTAAACCCTAAACCCTAAACCCTAAACCCTAACACGGCTGCGCAGTGCTGCGAAGTTCGGAACTCCATGTTGCGGGTAGAAACTGCAGTTGCTCAGCATAATCTGAGCATTTTCTGACATTAGGAACTACGATCCCGAGGTGGGAGCCATGACAGAAGTTAAGCCGCGAAGGCACGGTTTAGAGCCTGGGGTTTAGGGTTTAGGGTTTAGGGTTTAGGGTTTAGGGTATAGGGTTTAGGGCTGCGGATTTTAGGGTTTAGGGTTCCTGCCTTCACCACATACATTGGAAACTTGCACTCGTGCACGAGCTGTATCTTGGCAGCATCCGGGCCACACAGGGCAGGGCCGGCCAGAGCATTCCCCATGGCGACTCAAGGATAGTCGCCCTTTCAGGAGCTGCCCTGAGGCCCTAAACCCGAAAAAAACCCTATACCCTAAGGCCCTAAGGAGGGAAGAGTGTTGCGTATGCGGCCTAGAAGCCCTGCAGTCCCTGAAGCCTTAAAACTTTCGAGGCCCAAGAGTGCCTGGCAAAGACCCCCTGGCTAGAAGGGCTCGGCCCTTTCTCTCCCGTGCACTTGAGCCGCAAACCAAGAATGACAGTCCAGGGATCTCCGGCTCTTGGGATTGGGAAGACTTGGGTGGTGCCCCCTGCGGCAGAATGAACACACGCACACACGCAACGTGCTTACAGGCACAAACGACCTATCTAGCAATGCTGCAGAAGCAGCAACTCGAGCTTCAGGGTGTCAACTGCCTCGCACCAACTGCTGACGATGAACCAGGATGAAAGACGTACAAAAAGGTATAAAACAACAAGATCAGTTTCTCCACCCACAGGGGCCACAGGGCTTTCGTCTGCCTTCCCAAATTCAAAGAGCCAACCCGAGAGAGAGAGAGAGAGATTGCATTGTTTGGGAAAAATGTGGGGCTCTCCGTCCCTGCCTCGGAGGCTGTGGCGCGAACCTTCAGTTGAGGGCGAACAAAAGGGGAAGCTACGATAGCTTGTCACTTAAGCTTACTAGGATGGCCCTCAAAACTCAAAACCCTCTGAATTAATATTCTTAAACCCTAAGCCCTAAACCCTAAACCTCTTCAAAGTATGCAATGTCCCCAGGGCCTACCGAGAGTACGAAAGCACGATGAACAGTTACGAAAGGCAGAGAGGAAAATATCACGTGGAAGCACCTAAGAGCAAGACAGGTTTAGGGTTTTGGGCTTCGGGTTTAGGGTTTCGGGGGTTATCATTGCAAGGAAACAAGCAAGATGCGGATTGGAAACAAGGGCGGCCGAATGTCTCAAACGACATACACATCGCCACACATGAAGCAGATGTCCAAGGTGCTGCAACAAAGCAGTCATTTAGAAACATAGAACCATCAATCTTCGAAGTTGGCGTGCTTCAGATGTAGCACTGTTTCGGGCGCATTCAAGATGGCATTTATTGTTTTTACTAGGAATGAGAATTATCACCACATCTAGAGTAAAATTTTGGGACTTTGCCCATGCATAATCAATGGGCTAAATCCAAAAACAGACGAGAGAAATTGGCGTGCGCACAGCTTGAAGCCATGACTTTTTTCTCTGTAACATAAACATGATACGGACTGCATCAAAAGGGTTTAGCGATTTTTGGGGGGAAGAGGGAAGGGGAGCAGGGGGGGAGGAGGGGCGGGTGGAGTGGGGGGGGAAGGGGAGAAGGGGGAGGGCGACTGCAACCGTCCGACGAGCAGGCGTTTGGGGTGGGCTCAGGGTTTAGGGCAGTTTAGGGTTTAGGGGGTTTAGGGTTTAGGGGGGGTTTAGGGTTTAGGGGGCCTTAGGGTTTAGGGTCCAGGGTTGAGGGCATCAGCTGTCGACGGTTGCTCGCTTGTGCGAGGCTTGCTAACTTCAAAATGGTCTCCACGCCCTTCGTCTGTGTCCCAGATCGGACGTGTTATGTTGCTGTCAGCAAACCTGCCTAATAAACCCTAAACCCTAAACCCTGAACCCTGAACCAGTCAACAAGTCAGCCCGACGGGTTTTGAGTTGGACGCAGAGCGAATCAAACCTCCATCAACAGCTTCGGGCCCCCTTGAAAAGACGCAACAACCCTCAAAGCCCTCAAGCTTCCGAAGAGGCTGAGCCTGCAAATCACGGTAGCTGGAGGAAACTGACCTGCAGCTGAGAGGGGGTACTTCAGCTTCAGATGGCTTTTCGAGCCCTGAGGCATCCGCGGTGTTCGTTTGGCACGGCGGGTGCTAGAATTCTTAGCGCTTCTTGAAACTCCCGAAGCTTGGCTCATCTAGGGCTTCTTTGATTCGTGCGCCGCCTGGGATTTCAAAAGGCTGGGGATTTCAGCAGGAGCAAAGGAAGTACGAGCTGAACGTTAAAGTGTCCAACCTCCCCGGTAAAAGCCCGGGGGCCCTCCTAGCCGAGATCTGCTTTTGGTATCAAGCAAGAAGCAACCATGCATTCGAGAGAAGCTCACTTCGTTCTGAAGGACCGGGCTCCAAGGATGTTTACTCAGTACCACGATGACACAGTCCTGAACCCCCCCTAAACCCTAAACCCTAAACCCTAAGCCCCTTCCACCCGAGTGCCGCCAGCGGGCTGCGACGAAGACTGGGAAGGTGCCGGGGAGGGCACGCGCTCCACCACGCGGGGCATGGCTACGGCCAAGTGCAAGAAATCTCCCGAATTACTCGAGGGCTTGGAAGCCTCGGAGCCTGCGAATGAGACAGTTAAAGTTTTCAGGCGCAGCAGGGTTTCCGAATGGAATGGCATTGAGGCTTATGAACCCCGGCGTGCCAATGCTCGCAGGGTCTTGCAGCTTGCCTGCGGTTTTCTGCAGCACATGGATGCTGAGCTTGAGCTGGGAGCGCACAAGCCAGAAGCATCACACGAAGACTCTTGCCATGCGATTCATTAGATGACTGCGCCGCCTTGGATCAGCAACCTCACCTCTCCGCGTCTGCTGAAAGCGACCTTTTTAAGGAACGCACCCCCAATTCGCTGAAGCAATCATTCGGCACGACCAGCAGGCATGTCCATGGCATTGCCAGGGATCGTCACTCCGCGCCAGTAGGGGGGCGAGGCAGGTGACGCCGGCGAGGTCGCGATCGAATCTGCATGCGACTCAGCTTGCTTTTCTTTGCTTGCTGATTTATGAGCACGGCTATGCGTGGACACTGCATGTACTACACTGTGCCATCACATGTCCGGGACAATGTCTACTATTTCCTTTGACATACTATGAAATTGCGAAGCACCGCTGCGGTGCAAAGGCGACCTACGAGTCAGCAAGCTAGGGGTGCTAGCTTCATCGATTCTGCAGTTTCGAGTGCCGCAAGCCACTCTTACACGGCTGCAATCCACAGTCCAACGCGACGAGTTCGCTGAGCTTAGGATTTGTCCTGACTATTCCCTGCAAGCTACGCGACATGAACAAGGCCCATAGTGACCCCCACCGCCTTCCGAGATGGCTCTGTGCGCCACCTGCCCAGATCGGCTCCAATCGGCTGAATTGGCCCTTAGGGTATTTAGGGTTTAAGGTTTAGGGTTTTAGGTTTACTGTAGGGTTTAAGGTTTACGGCTCAAGCTTTAGGTTTACATATAGCCTACCCCGGCAGCTACCACTTCGAAGCTGGTTTGAGGAGTCCAAGCCCTTCAGACCTATTTGGGGCTTTGGGGATTTGGAGGTCGTAACCCAGACCTCCACGTGCACCAGTGGGCAGGGTGTTGTGCGTGGGGCATAACCTACTTGTCCAGTAATTTGGGGGAATCAAAGGTTAACCTTTGGGATTCTGATAGCCAGCTTGGGGCTCTGGATGATGGTTCCCCCGAAATCTATCAAGTCAGCCATGCAGCACCGGGCAGCAGACGAAGCTCTCGGTTCTTTCGAGCAAGGCACTGAGACTGCGCAACGTCTCCGGCTGAAAGGGAAGCCCTGGCCTCCGGCCCAATGTACGAATGTGCGCGCTCACGGTCGCGCATGATCCTGGGATAGGGCAGTGATTGGGATGTTCCCCCTTACTTTCTGTCCTCAATAGCAATTATAATAGGGGATACTAGAATCCCCATTAAGGACTGTTAATAAAAGGGGACCATCCCAAGGCACTGTTTTGATTTTGGGGTGAAGGCGTCCGTGGTTGGCGCCCTCACAAGAAGCCTTGCACCTGCGGCAAGCTGCGACCCAGCCAAACATGTTTTGCAACAGGCTTGCAGAGACTTCTGCACAAGACGGCAAGCCGGAACCTTGAACCTTCCATGTGGCTTGTCCACGGAATAGGGCTTAGGAGTTTTGAGTTTCGCCACTCCTTCTCCGCCCTTAGGGTTTAGGGTTTAGGGTTTAGGGTTTAGGGTTTAGGGTTTAGGGTTTAGGGTTTAGGGTGTAGGGTGTAGGGTTTGGGGTTTGGGGTTTAGGGTTTAGGGTTTAGGGTTTAGGGTTTCACAACCCTAGGCCCCTCCTCCTAGCTCTATGTCCATGCCGTCGGGCAAAAGGTTTAAGCTTCCTCCACACCAGTTGCGGCCAAATATGAGGACGGAGAAGTCAAACCAACAAAGTCACATGCTAAGAGCTGCACGTCCTACATCCTGGACCCTCGGCAGCCTAAACCCGACTGCCCCCCCCCCCCTTCACACACACACATTAGACGTGGGATGTTCCCCCTTAAAACTGACAGTCCTCGAGAGGGATAAAAGGAACCCCCCAATATGCTCCCTACTAAGGAGCTGTTGGTATAAGGGGGAACCCTAAACCCTAAACCCTAAACCGACCCAACATTAGACAACCAAAACACGCCCACCAAACACGGGCCGAAGGCTCATCCCGAGGCCATGCACACTCTCCTCTACGAGGCTGGTGGAGTCCTGGCTTCGCTTTTGTGCCGCCCGCCCATATTGCCAGTACTATCTTCTTAGAGTATCGGTAGAGTAGCAAGAATTTTATATAAATATATATGTATATATATTGCCAGTACTCTCTTGTTATAGTATCAGAAGAGTAGAAAGAATTCTTTAATATGAAAGCACTGCCTAAATTCTTGTAGCAAGAATATTTTGTATATTCTAGGACTGCCTAAACAGTCAGGATGCGCTGGCTTAGTTTTGCGTTTGGCCGTGCAGGGGTTTTGAGGCTGGAATTGAGGTCCTGGGGACCTGCCAGGTTCAAGTCTGCGAGGAGCTTGCTGCTGGCTCTATTTCATGCTCGTTCCCGCATAGCTGAGAGCATGCTGCGTCGGGGGTTTAGGGTTTAGGGTTTAGGGTTTAGGGTTTAGGGATGTTTAGGGTTTAGGGTTTAGGGTTTCGGGTTCAGCCTTCTTCAGGGGCCTGTACCTTGGGGGTGCGCAGCCGCGCCTGTGAGAGCTCCAGGCCGCTGTCGATGCTCCCAGGCTCCGCTTTTTCTGGCAGGCTCGCAAGGGAAGTCGAGTGGGAGGGTTTACGGGCCCATTAATAAGGGGCTCGACTGCTGCCCTTTCTGCCCAGCCCATTAATAACCCCCCAATAAAAATTTCTCTCGAGTGTGACGCATTACCTGCTTGAAAAAAAAGACCTTTTTGCGTGCGGGATGTCCCCTTGAACTGTCCTGTCCCTTCGCAGAAAAACCGCTTGACATCGTGCTGCACCTCCTCATTCAGGAGTTCGAGGTGGGGCCTAAAATGAGGCCCTTGAACCCGAAATTAAGCCCCAAAATAGCTTCCACGCACCTGACAAGCGCTTCTGCACCTCGATGCGGCGTACGCCCAGCGCCAAACCTCGGCTGCTGATTCTGATGCCGTGCAAGGACGGCGGCTAGTGCCTCACAGTAGGACAAGCCTCATAGGAAATGCCCAGGCAGAGTTCTGTCCTCCTAAGAACGATGCTTGTACTTGAGCAAGTGTGAGGCTGAAAGGCTGGCTACAGTACGGCATGCTGTTGCCTAGCGCAGCCCTGATCTTCTCACTGCAGGCCTTTTTGGCACAAAAGGGCCCTGGGCCCTCGGCATCCAGGCAAAATGATTGGTCCTGGTCCCCTAAACACTAAACCCTAAACCCTAAGCCCCACCAAGCATCGATGGTCCTCAAACCCGGTGCTCCCGAGATTCAAGGTTTGTGTTCCCCACTTCGTCGGCAATCCTTGTGGCTCCTTTAGGGCTCCTTTAGGGCTCCTTTAGGGGCTCCTTTAAGGGCCCTAAACCCTAAACCCTAAACCCTCAACCCTCAACCCTAAACCCTAAACCCTAAACTCCTTTGGGGCTCCTTGAAGGCCTCAGGCACCCGGCGGGGGCTCTGAGTGGGACGTGTCTCTCCTGCGCTCGCCTTGGCCAAGGCCCAAGCAGAGGAGCAGCGTGCACCCGAGGGCGGCGGCCCCACAGCCTGACTGCCCTAAACCCTAAACCCTAAACCCTAAACCCTAGACCCGAAACCCTAAACCCTAAGCCCTAAACCCTAAACCCTACATCCTAAACCCTCCACGCCCTCCGCGCCCTCCGCGCCCTTGTCCAGGACACAGTGTGCTGATGCTAAGGGTGCATTGCGTCGAGGTTTAGGATTGAAGCTTAGGGTGTGGAGTTCAGCACTTCAAGTCCCGGATTCACTAGGCCAGCAGCATATTGAGGTAACAGGGAAATACCCACCCTTCCATCTATGAAACCTCGAAACATTCAAAAACATAACTTGCCGACCGAGAGTTGTGCCTGGGCTATATCTGTACATATAACCATATTAGGGCACTTAAGGGACTTATAAGTCGGTTGTATAAGTACAGTTGTAAATAACTACCACGAAGCTCCAAGTACTCACCCTACCCAAGATATGCCCCTACATGCCCCTACACTGGACAGACCCCAACACCGCTCCGCCCCAAACACCCCCAAACACCCCCAAACACCCCCAAACATCCCCAAACACCCCCAAACACCCCTCAGCCCCAAACACACCCCTCAGCCCCAAACACCCCTTAGGAAGCCCCCTCAGCCGCTAATGCCCCTCAGCCCTGAGCGCCCGAGCCCTAAGCGTTTCGCAGCCCTTCAGCCCTGAGCACCCCCAGCCCGAAGCACACCTGACCCCCAAACCCGAAGCACCCCCAGGCCCTAAGGTGAACTGCGAGGAGGGGCGCAAAATCTCCTCGGTCAGTGCGGGTTGGGGGTTGCCTCGTAAACCAAAACCATGTCGGACGCCACGGTCAAAGTTCTCCACATCCTTCTCGCCGCCATAAACCAGCACGGATTGGCAACTCCCTGTGGGAAAGTCCAGAGCGTACGGCACATGCACTGGGCCGAAAGCCACGAACGCCTGAAATTCAGGCTGTGGCGACATGCCTCCCGCCCCTATCCCAAGCAGGAAGGTAGGAAGAGAAAGGTGAGGACTCACCTCTCTCTTTGCGCCGCACGTAGAAGGGGGAGGATGTGCAATGTGTACGTGGCGGTGGTCCAATCACGGTTCTCAGGGGGTAGGGGCAAGGGTGCGGGGGCAGCGGCGAGGGGGGGGGGGGGGGGGGGGCAGCAAGGATAGTGCGGGTCGGAGTATGCGCTGAATTAAAAACAGTCCAGTACCAGAACAGCGGAGGGGGGGGGGGGGACGGAGCCCTTAAAACACTCCATTGCTGGGGGGTCGGAAGGGAAGTGGGGGCAAGGGGGCCCTTCGCAACTGGGGCGGAGGGGGGTTGGGGGGGCAGGCACCAAGGTGGGGGCCAGGGCGCAGGGGCAGGGAGGGCGGGGGGGGGCGGGTTGTTATCTGTTGCCTCATATACTTTTTCAGGCAGCTGTCGCCTGATAAACCTGATCCGAAGCTCCCAGGATGCGCTATTCGGGCCCTAGAATCCCCACAATCAACCCTGTTAAGGGCCTTTTTAAAGGGTTATTGGGTATATGGCCCGTCCTGGTCAAGCTCAGGCTATCAGTCTGTATCTGTAGAGACAGTAGTATCACCTTTGGGCAGCTGGGATTTGACCCGATGTGGAAGGAAGCTATAAGATTAGGCCTCGCATGAGCCATGTGTCTTGTTGCATTCCGGGCGCAAAGAAACGGTGTCACAGGAGCGACGGCAAACAGCATTGCCCCTGCATAGCTGCCCACCATGCCTGCATGACACACACTAGCGGGATCAAGCTATCTTCCCAATTCAAGTCAAACCGCACTATCACAATTTTCTTGCCTGCCTCCGTACCTTACCTTCTGCAAGGAGTGCGGCGTTTGGACTGCGGTGGCGTTCGCTAAGGCTGTCTCTCTTTTTGAGTGCTACGGCGGACTGCGTGCTTGCACATTCTGAGCGCTGCGTAAGCAAAACATGATCACACGAGACGGCCTTTGAAGGCTTTAGACAAAGCTCGTAGACTCGGCCTACATTGGAATTCTCCCCCCTTATGCCAGCAGCTCCTTCATAGGGATTAGAGACCCCGATTACAATCCCTATTAAGCCCTAAACCCTAAGCCCTAAACCCTAAACCCTGAACCCAAGGGCTGTTAGTGTAAGGAAAGTAAGACCTGCCAGGCCAGGCCTATGGCACAGCCCAGCATCTCTGAGATGCCCATGATCTGGAGCAAGGCAGATGCAACTTTGGGTTCAGGGTTTAGGGTTTAGGGTTTAGGGTTTAGGGTTTAGGGTTTAGGGTTTAGGGTCACAAAGTACAACATCTGCGGGTTTTCGAAAATAAGGGAATCCTAATAGAGTCCCCCCGAAGTAGTAGGCTTCCCTCATAACAAGGACCGCAAGAAGGTAACCCCAGAAGGTAACCCCCTGATTTCGGAAACCCCCATATGCAGGCGCAGGTGTAGGGCCACTTACAGAGCACCCTCAACCCAAGATGCAGAAGAACACCCTGGACCCTTTTCCATCTGGGCTAAACCCTAAAACCTAAACCCTAAACCCTAAACCCTAAAACCTAAACCCTAAACCCTACGCCAAGAAGAGCCAACAGAAACCCCCAGGTTCCAGAAGTAGCCCCGTCTGCTGAGTCTTCAGAGAACTTCTGAATCTTTCAAGAAGCTCCCTGCCTTTCCACCTTTCGACCTCCAAGCCGCCGGGTTTAGGGTTTAGGGTTTAGGGTTTAGGGTTTAGGGTTTAGGGTTTAGGAGCCCTCAATAACATCCCCAAACGGAACAAACGCTGCAGCACTTGCCGGAGCATGGCAGAGCTGGCCTGCCCCGAGGTCTCCACGTCATTGACGCCTGTCAGGCACTCCATGAGCACCACCTTGTCACGGGGGGTTGTGCGGCCCATGCGTTCAAGATGACTATATCGGCCTAAGGCTTGAAGCTTGACGCGCGGCCGGGGGGCAGAAATGCTACAGTATGAGGCTGTGGTGCATTTCGCTACACGCAATGTGCCGAGTCAAGCTCCATCGACCACCCGGAAGCTATGATGTTTCAACTCGGCATGAATTCACTCTGTTTCAGTGCTGACTTGGGCGGCTGGGCAGTTGGACACCTGCTTGGATGGAAGTTTGGCTGAAGCTGAAGCCGAACAACCTCAATTCCAACTCACAGCACATCATCATGGCACATCGCACCTGCGAAGCATTGGCCATCGAGAGGAACCTCTGTCAGCCCACAGAACCATGAGCGTGCCGGACCCTAACACACCCTACTGTAAGCCTCAAGCCCTAAAACCATGCTTCTCGGAATCCTGACATCTCGGAATCCTGACATCCTAAACCCTGGACCTTACCCAAGGCAACCGGGCAGCACCCACACACCAGCCACGAAGGCTGGGGGGACCATTTCTGGCAAGAAGGCCAGTGACCTGAGTGGAGGTCGCGCATGGGGCCCCAGGCCACGCAGTAGGGCATTGCACAACCCTAAACCCTAAACCCTAAACCCTTAACCCTTAACCCTAAGCCCTAAACCCTAAACCCTAAACCCTAAACCCGAAGCCCACCTAGGGACTTGGCATGAACAGCCAGGACATGCTCATGATGGCGTAGCTGACCAAGAGGTTCGTCGGCCGAGGCTGGTTGAAGCACCTTGCGACTTGCAGCTCTATTGAAAAAATAGAAACAACTCTGAAAACAATGTACGCATGCATGTGTATATATATATATATACATACACACGTTCTGTAACTTCTATGGACACGTGCTTCTGCAAAACCCCTCACAATGCACACGTTCTGTCATGGCCATGCCCAGCCCTGCCACAGTGAACCCGCTGAACCTTCCTGGCCTGGGCAGTGACGGCAAGACCAGCAGAAAGCACATGGCAACGAAAGCGCCAGACCCTGCACAGAGAGAGCCGGTCAAGCTTTCAGATGTCCAGATGCAACATGCGAGCCCCCTTAGGGACCCTTCTCTTCCTGAGCGAGCAACCTACGTCCCCGTGCTATTGCACTTTGGTGTAAAGCCTTGGGCCTTTGCTCATGTTCAAGTGCTCCTTAGCTTCGCATAGCTCGGATTGCCAGGGAAGAGTACCGAGGCATCGCACAAGAAGATTGGGATGGGCCTAACGACACACCCGTAGGCCTGTATGCCCCACGTGAACTGTCAGCTCGAAGTTCGCTTATCCGGCTGCCCCGAAACCGATCCTGAAGAGATTTCCAACGCCTAAGCCGTGCCTAGCACGGTGCCAACTGCATACGTCGGGAAGGCAAAGGTGGTGACCAGCGCTGCTGGAACTGCAGTGTTCAACCTGGAAACGAGCCATGGTGAGCCATAGTGAACACTTTGCAACGGACAGTGATTGGTTCTGCCGACAGGGCCTTTTCCGATGCATTCCCCTTGAAAGGCCTGAGAGTTGATGTTGGTGTAGGGGTGTGGGTGGTGGTGGATGGTGTGGATGTGCTGGTTTTTGTGGTATGGGTAAGGGGTGTGGATCTAGGTCTGAGTGCACGCGGGTGGTGTGGTTGGTAACTTGGGGTGGTGTGAATGATGTGGGTGGTGGTGCTGCGGGTGTGGTTCTGCGTGCATGTACATGTCTTGAGTTTAGGCTTGATGGCGTGGGCGCGGGCGGTGTGGGCGCAGATGGTGCGGCTGCTGCAGGCGGTCTGGATGCAGCGCGCTTCGGTGTCTGAGTGCAGCGGGCACATGAAAAAAACATTAAGGGAACAAACAAAGAAACAAAACAACCAGAGAAGCACCTGCGCATGAAGAAAGAACGGCCGAGAACAGGGTGCTAGAAAAGCACCCAAGGGACAAGGAGAATAAGGCAAACACACAGCCAGTCCAAGCACAACTCCTTTCTTCCTACAGTGTGTCTTCTTCACGTCAGAACAGCGTCTTATGAGGCTTCAAGAAGACCTCATGCATGGGAACAATCACCACTACGTGGACTCAGAGGCTTGAAGGCTCAGGCTGAAGTTCAGGCAGGTCGAAGGTGGCGATCCCCCGCTGTACTGATGTCAGCCATGAGCAAAACATGCTTGTCAAGCGTTTGGAAGCAGAATCGGCACTTCTGGAGCTGGGCATCCGGGCATGTTCCATTGCAGTTCTGTGCTGACCTGGGACTAACTTTCAAATCTAAATGTTAGACAGAGGTTGGGCAGCCAAAGTCTCAACAAACGGACGTGCGTGCGCCCAGGAATGCTGAAAGCTTGAAGGTAAACGTGTCCGTGTTGTGTCTCAGCCAGGTGGCTTGAAGCAAAGCAGCATGAGTTCGATCAAAAGCGGCGACTGAAAGGGCAGTACGTGCGGCGACATCTCATGCCGTCCGTTTGCTGAGTTTTACTTCAGCCTTCAGCAAAAGCACAATCCAAATCCTGAAAGTTCGACTGAACAAAGGTATGGCTGGGCTAGCCATCCAAAAACGTGGCAGCCTTCAAGGCACCCTTGCATGCGACTTTAGAGACATTGCTGCTGGGTCTAATGGTGTGGTCCAGAGACTTGGACGCCAAATGACCCCAATCACCGCCGTGATCCTTCCTGCAGACTTAGCCCAAACGTCAGGCCAAGCACCCGCAAATCCTAACCCACAAAGCCAAAACGAATGCCCATGCCTCTAAGCCCTAAGCCCTAAGCCCTAAGCCCTAAGCCCTAAACCCTAAACCCTAAACCCTAAACCCTAGACCATGGCAGTCACTGAGCTCCAGGCAAAGGCCCCCGACAAGATCCAGTCGATCCAGTGGATGCGTTTGAGTTGAAAAGAGCCCAGTACCTTGGGGACCAAATGACACCAAAAAATGGGGTCATAGGGCATCCTATACTACTGTAGTTCCTATTAAGGTATATGAACCATAAACCCTTTTATGGTTTGAGTTGAAAAGAGCCCAGTACCTGGCTTCTGCTGCGAGGTGGCGACCAAGGATGATTGGCAACTGCTGGAGCAGATTTAGGGTTTTAGGGTTTAGGATTTTAGGGTTTAGGGTTTAGGGTTTCATTGCCACAACATGCTGCAACCATCCTTCTCAACATCGGCTCTTGGCGATGGCCAAACATTTGGAGCGTGGCGGGGGGGGCGCACGGACTCACTAAGAGGAAAACTCATCCCGTTGCTGGGCGCGTGCATGGGCACAGCCAGTACCTCGTCACGTCGCCACATGCCGCCATACCCTAAACCCTAAACCCTAAACCCTAACCCCAAACCCTAAACTGGTAAGAGTGTTATTTTTTTGCTGCGGGTGCTTTCTTGTTGTATGGCTTTAAGAAGCGGGGGGGTTGGGGGGGCGCAGCCCCCCCCCCCATTTTCAAACCCAATGCTCGCATGATAGGCTTGGACAGGATTCATATGCTGAGAAGCGAGCTGGCACGGTTTTAAAGAGGAGGGGGTCGGGCGGGGTGCAGCCCTCCCCTCCACCGTTTGCAAACACAATGCTCGCATGATGGCCTTGGGAAGGATTCAGTGCTTTGAAAACGCTTGCACAGCTTAAAGGAGGGGGCGTTGGGGGCGGGGTTGGGGAGGAAATTGCAAAACAAATGACCTGGGGGGTGGGGAGGAAGGGGGGGGGGGGGCGCGTTTTTTTTTTTGCTGCGGGTGCGGGGGCGCTTTTCTTTTTAGCTGCGGGTGCGGGGGCGCGTTTTTTATTGCTGCGGCTGCGACACGCGCCAGGTCACTCACTCACCGGGGCGGCCCCCGAAAAAAACACCCACGGCAAAGAAGTACCCACAACAAAAAAAAACACGGGTTCCACCCCAAACCCTAAACTAAACCCTATCAACCCTAAGCCCCAAACCACAAAGCTGCAGGATGTGGCCATGTCGCACACCCAGTCAGGCTTTGGGCGCACGAGGTAGCAAAAGGCCAGCGCGCCCCCGAATAAGGAAACTCCGTCCTGGAAGCAACGTCCAAACGTCTCTGCGTACTCTGCGGTCACATGGGGATTTACGAATGAAAATAAGGGCAAGTAGTAAGTTGGACTGATGTGTAAGCTTGGAGCTCCATAAGCCCAGACAAAAACCCTCAAAGGCCGTACAAGCCACAGCTCTCAGGCCGCAGCCCAGCCCACAAAGTCATAGAGCGCGGCCGGAAGCACAAAACCTCCAGAGAAGTAGGGCATTCGGGATTTGTGCTAGCAAGCATTGGGATGACCCTGCACCATGTCCCTTCGGAGACGGGTCCTGCAACGATTGAAACTGACCAGGAGCCAGTGGCCAAAAAGCTCAGTATCTCAGCCGAGGAGCTGCAAACGTCAGCGCAGGTGCGCGCAGCCTGAATCGACGTCGAAACTCTTGTGAAAAAACACGCCAATGCACACAATGCACGCCAGACTCTGAGGGCTTGGCACCGCACTGCTGTGAGAGCCGTGTGAGGGCCCTCAAATCCCCCATGCAAAGCGCCTGGAGAGGTGCTCTTTCTCTGCTCTTCTCCAAAGCTCGACGCAAGGCAAGAGGAATCTCGCAGAGTATCCCGGGAGTGGCCCCCCCCCCCCCCCCCAAGGAGATTTCCGCAGAGAATCCCTGGAGCGCCCACCCCCAGACCCAGAGAATTTCGCAAATCTCAATGAAGTGCCCCCCACCCCCAGACATCCCTCAGAGCATCCTTTCCAGTGCCAGGAGAGCTTCAGGGTTGATAGGCGTTGGGACTGAAGTTCGAAGAGAGAAAACTCCACTTTCTTCTTTGGCTTCTGCCTCTGACGGTTTGACCATAACCTCCTGCCTGTTGCTTGTGCTACGTCGGGTTGGCTTGAACTTCTTTAGGCATGGGATGGTATAATGGTACAGGCCTGGCTGTGTACAACCACTTCTGAGGTCGGACGCAGAGCTCTGTAGTGGCCGAACCCTTTCTGTCTTGCCAGCGCCGGCATTGCAAACAGACCTTCTGAAGCAGGCCCACAAGACAAGGCAAGCCTTGAAGGTTCCATCTACATCGCGAGGGCCTTTCGAACCCTGAGCTTGGGCCTGTGCCTGGCTTCAGCTCACAGCTCCCAAATTCAGAACCCTGAGCCCCTCTGGGCCTTCAACCCCGGATTTTCACATGCCGAAGCTTCAAGCCAAGCCCAAAGGGCCCAAAACCCATGCGGCCTGGCCTGCGAATGCAGGGTCACGCACGGCCGCATAAAACCCAGGCCTGGTCGTCTCGGTTTTCTTCGGGCTGGGATGGGCCGGGCATGCTACTTGGGTTTCGTCCAGATTCATGTCTGATGTTGACACTTTGTCTTGCCTAGGCCCGACAGCCACCTTCTTCCCTTCTTGCGCCACGAAGGGAAAGTGAGAAAAGTTTGGTCTATCACACCTTGGCATCAAAGTCCTAGACATGGACAAGGCCTCTCGTAAATCCAACCAACTCCCGTGCCTGCAGCGACTGCCAGGGCATGAAAGGCCCATGTCTCCGCAGGGAAGCAGAAGGACAAGGCCTTGGTCGGCTCAGGGGTGTGACAGTTCCTTTACATCGGTTGGGCTACTCTCCTTCAGTTCCGGAGCACATCTCTGGCGCTGTCCCTCACCAGGGAGACCTGACCATAAGAATGGACCACCTCATGACAAAAGCTGAACCCTGAGCCCTTGGCAGATGCAGGAGCTCCCTTTTGTACAGCCTGCCGTGCTAGCGAGGTGCGACACTCGTCCTTGCGTTACGCACCGAGCACTGGGGGGGTCGATCAGCGTTCTCGCCAGCGGAACATTCGGCCAGGGCGATCTTTTCTTCAGACATTTGGGAGTTTAGGAATTATAGGGTTTAAAGGGTTTATAGGGTTTATAGGGCTTATAGGGTTTATGGGGTTTCTAGGGTTTCTAGGGTTTATAGGGTTTACAGGGTTTTTAGGGTTTCTAGGCTTTATAGGGGTTTAGGGTTTTTAGGGTTTAGGGTTTAGGGCAAAGGATAAGGGATGCCTCCTTAGTCTTTCAACTTCGAGGAGCGATCGACCCCCGCTGGCAGAGGCCCCAGGTCTGGACCGAATCGACGAAGGGGCGGGTTTAGGGTTTAGGGTTTAGGGTTTAGGGTTTAGGGTTTAGGGTTTAGGGTTTAGGGTTTAGGGTTTAGGGTTTAGGGTTTAGGGTTTAGGGTTTAGGGTTTAGGGCGTTAGGAGGTGCGCCAAACTGACCCGACCATGTCGGCACCAGGCTAATGTATACCAGGTTTGCCTATGATTCGCCGTGCCATAGGCCCTTTAACTTCCCCCGCTCCTCTTCACAGTGTCTTCGAATTTCGAGCCCCGGTGCAGAGCCTGGCAGCTCGCAAAACCCCGCATCCTGACGCTAAACTGGGCAGAGTGCTAACTAATGGCATTTACCTTGAAAGCCAGAAGGCTGTAATTATACCACCGAAGACCCCAAACAGCCGAAGACACGTCACAGAAACAGTGGAGACATCGGGAGACAAAGGGAGACGAAGGGAGACAAAGGGAGACGACCCTAAACCCCAAACCCCTAACCCCCTAAACGAGGAGCCGGCAAAGCCAGAGACATGAAGGACATAGGGAGACAAAGGGAGACAAGGAGCCTAGGAACCCGGCAACAGTCCTCAGAATGTCGGCAGTCCTTAAATGAATGTAGAACCCCAACAGTAGACTGTCTGGGGAATTATGGTATACAGTTTCAAACCTTGGGGGGTATGATAGCCTCTTATTTTGGGTAACGAAGCGTTTAAGGTAGACAGTCGTAGGGTCCAATTTCAGCCTGAAAGCAAGACTGAAGCCACATCTCATTCGATTCCTACCAACCTTACATCAAGGTATCTCATCTTCCCAAAGCAGCGGCGGCATCGTCCTAATAGGTGAGGCCTTTGTTCCTAGACTGCCACTCGACTTTTTGCCAGCTAACCTGCACCAGAACTCTTCTGCTGGCTTCCTACTGCTCCTCAGAGATCAGAGGCGGCTGGGGGTGCACGGGGCACGTCACCGGTAATCCAGTCACCGATGTCCTCGTTGACGCCACCGTTCCTTCAGCTCTTGCTTGCAGACAATGGGCAAGGTTTTTATTTGCCGGAGGTAGGGTTCAGGGTTTGGGGTTTAGGGTTTAGGGTTTTTGGGCAGGAGGTTGCAGGTTCATGAGGAACTTTGCCCAACTTGCCGGCGCAGCCTCGATTCCAAACGACCTAAGAGCTGTGTTCCAGGGGACCTCTCGAGTGACAGGTGCTGACCCCTTATGAAAACCAACGAGCAACATGAACCTCCAACGCATGCACCTATCGTGCAGACTGGTACGGCCTCATTAAGACCCGACTCCTTCTTCAGCATGCCCAGCGCAGATGCCGTGGGGACAACCGATTTTCGTTCGGTTTTGCAGGTGGGCGCATGTGTGCATTGCCTGGAAAAAAAAAGCCTCCAAACTAGTCGGAGCATGAAACTGCAGTACCAGCTGCTTGTGCCAGACCTAGCACCCGCATCCCGAACGCCAGCATTCCTGGAATTCTCTCCCAGCCTGCCCCACGTTCAGCAACAATTATAAGTACAAGCTAGGCTTTTTTCAACACCAGAGCTCTTAAAGTACAAGTTAGGCTTTTTTCAACACCAGAGCTCTTCTACGCCCGCCTGATCCTTACTTCACCCTAAACCAATTTGCCGTCGGAGCTGCGGGGCTTTCAAGTCGCAGCGCTGGCGCTCGACGTGGAAGTTCCAGTGGTAGCCTTGGGTTTCGGGGGGTCTAGGGTTGAGGGTTTAGGGTTTAGGGTTTAGGGTTTAGGGTTAAGGGTTTAGGGTTTAGGGTTAGGCTTGAGCGCATCGGGTTTTTAGTGGTTTTGGGGTTGTCTAGGCTTTCGGGACGTAGGGGTTCAGGACTGACTTGGGGACGCGCTACAAGGAAACGCCACTGGGGCAAACATGTGTCCTCATGCACGCTTCTTTCAAAACAGCGAAAACAGCATACTCACATCCGGCTTTTCTTCTCATTGAGAGACTAGGTGGCCCTTCCCTCCATGCCGAAAAACTTGGTGGTTTCAGCAGGTTTTACTGTATCACGACAAGCATGGGGAAACGCGCGCACAAGAATACAGGAGAATCGTTTTGTCTGACCACCGAGCATGTCCATCAGGCAAATGTCCATCGTCCATCCTACTGATCTGTTGTGACATAGAAGTCACTCATCTCAACACTCACCAAGGCAAGCCTGTGCAAAGCAAGCACAAACAGAATGTGTGCTGTCGAGCATTGTCTGAGGTCTGACCGCCAATGGTACATTTGCAAAAACGTACCCCCTACAAAACACGAGCACCCCAAATAGTTCTGTCAGGAAATGTGTGGCATGGCAGCCGACTCGAAACGGCATACCATGTCCCGTTCGAATAACGCTACGCAACTATTCACACATGGACTCCGTCACGCAGCTCCTTCGTCTGAGCCCGCGCTCCGCTGCCAGGACTTGAAAGTAACAGGGAAAACGCCCGGAAACCTCGCTGCCAGATCCGCGTGGATTCTCTTGCTGGGCGATGGGCAAAATCCTCTGGGCCTTGTTGGTTTCTTCACTGCTTTGACCAAGGAATTTCAAGGAGATTAGGGCCATCTGGTTCGAATTGATCGTGGCGTTGTTCTGGCGCGTCCCAGCAATCGTTCTGGCCCAGCGGACATTATCAGTGGTTCTGGCACAGATTGGCTGCAGCCACTTTCTCAACGTCAAGGTCGGGTACGAAATGACCCATCGCGGGCCCCAGCACTCCTGCACAACACGTCTGACGCAGACTGAGTCCATGTCACACTGGGCAAAGAAGACACAGCCTCCAAACCCCAAAATTCTGGTTTACATATCCACCTCCGAAGTTGGGGATTCCAGGTTGACGAGATGCTAAGGGAAAATGGCGTTCTGCACCGCTGCCGCTTTCTATGAAACGGATGGATTAGGGTTTCTTAGGGTTTAGGGTTTAGGGTTTAGGGTTTAGGGTATGTTCTGAATTGCTTCCATGCCGCACTTCGCATCAGCCGTGCACTTCCTCGGGCGTCGCTGGCTAGCTACACTGAACACCATGAGACCTTTCCGCCGACAAAGACCCGACATCTTGGTCTGCCAGGGCGACCTATTTGGGTTTAGGGTTTAGGGTTTAGGGTTTAGGGTTTAGGGTTGAGGGTTGAGGGTTGAGGGTTGAGGGTTGAGGGTTTAGGGGCAACATGGTGCAGTGCGGGAATTCACCCTCTGCCGGGATCCTGTAGCATCAGGCGGGCTATTTCGGCGAGATGAGACGGCGCTAGATCTTTGGCGCATCCGGGAATTGTTTAGGATGTTTGCAGGGGAGCCCGTCAGTTCAACGCTGGAGCTCTGCAAAAGAGCTTGATGGCATACCTTGACGCCCTACACGCCATCAGGAGCCCAAGCCAACAATTCTGAACCTCAAACTGGTTTGATAACCGACGCATGCACCAGACCGTCGCAACACTTTCCGAAAGCCGAGCATCTGTGCGCAGGTCAGGGGGTCCTTCACTCCATCCACTTCATTTATGTAGTCGCCGTAGAGCCAAGCCCCTCTCTTAGCATTGTGACCTGATTCTGGCCCGGAATGCTCTTGGAGACAACAGCTCATGGGTCCTGTTTCACTTATGGTCTACAAGCGTGCTCCCTGGTGAAACTGGATCATGCTGGCACACATGGCACGACTTCAACACAGTCTCCTGTGTGGCTCGGCATGCAGACTCACCGTTGCACGAGTATGCTCGAGACTCATGTTGGAACCTGTTGGGCAGAGACTCCTCTACAAAGGTGCGACATATTGGATATTTCCTGCGGCGACCCTCCTCAGGGGGCCAGTAGGGGTCTGGTTTACAGAGGAGCAAAGTTAGGCCCAACTGTCGAGAAACCGTACTTTTCAAAGCATGGATATTCCTCTCAGGAAAGCTCAAACCCCATCTCACCATGCCTGCGGCAGCCAACGCCTGCAAATACTGATTTCCTGAGCAGCTATGCTCTGGAGCTGAGAGGGTGGCAGGGTGGGTTTAGGGGCTTCAAGCGCTCCAAGGGTCCAGGATTCATGAGAGTTTCTTGCGTGATTTTACATCTGCGCATCTGGCATTTAACGACTGGGTTGGCCTGATGCTCTTTGCAAAAGGAACTCTACAAGATTGGCAGTGTCTCTTGGCGCAGTACAGGCGTTCGAAGATTCCGATCCGACTGATCCACAACACGTGCTGCTGACGAAGGCTTGCGGACTAGCACTTTTATCATGCACCTAGCAGGCAAGTGACAAAACCAAGAATCAGGAACGATAGCTGATAGCAAGTGGTAGTCGAGCCCTGTTTGGTCAGGCGTAACGGGGCATGCAAACCCCACCCAGCTCTGCACTCCGCACTTGTGCGACACACAGCTCTGGCCTCTTAAGCATCTTATGCCCTACCTTCAACCAGGCACTCAATTCTTGCCAAACCAGGGCACGATGAAGTGCGACCAGCTCGTCTCCTGTCAGGCTCTGAACGTTGCAGAATGTACTTGCCAGCTTTCCCATCTTTTGCAGCAGGCATCGCACCACTACTACTGCTTCCAAGGCCACCTCACACCCACAAGACCTCCCGAGGCCCAAGCAGGCCCCCCCAGCGATTAGGGTCGAACTACGCACACTCTCCACCTCCACTCAATGCCATCCTCACTCAAAGGCCCCAATACAGCCGCTCAAGAACCTGGCTCTATGTGTGCCTCCCACCATGTAAACCCGGCGTCCTGTGAGCTCCGGGGTGCCTGCGGGGACGACCACCGGTGGCACCGGCGCCGGGGGGGGCGGGGCCGGGACCGCCGCCTCCGCGTCCTGAGAGGCGAGCTCGGGGGCGACCACTCTCACGCCGACTGCGGTGCATGTGGCAAGCAAAGGTCCGGATGTCTTCAAGGCTGTCCCTTCCTAACTAAAGGCAATGACTCGGCTTCCAAGCCGTGGCATGTTGGCCATTTCAAAGTAACAGGTTCTCCAAACAAGTGGAGGGTTTAGTATTTCTTGCCGCCAACAGGATCCCCAAACCCGCCCTCAGCAAACCCTGGACTCAGACCGCCGCAAGCCCACGCCAGTCCGAGACCCTCACAAGCAATCACAGTCGGGGCCTCCTGTGCCAGGCCGAGGGCAAAAAGGGAGAGCAGGAAGGTGAGGCTCATTCTCCTCAGCCCCGCGGCGGACATGGTCTTTCTTGCTGCTCCCACTACTCAGGCTTGCACCCTAAGCCCTAAACCCTAAACTCTCGTGGCGTCTTCTTTTGCGGCGTTTGGAGTTCAGAAGGGGTTCAGTTCAAAGGATGCCCCGCACTCACACCAAACTACGAGTGGCCCTTCAAAGAGAAGGCGTGCTGCTTTGAAGGTGCGCTTCACTGTGCAGGGGGGGGGGCTCTCAGCTCTCTCTCTCTCTCTCTATCTCTCTCTCTCTCTCTCTTTGTCTCTCTCTCTCCGCCTGCACAAACAGGAAAGACCACTAGATCCATCGAGCTTCAGGGGTGAAAGTTGAGACGAACTCGCTTCAGAACTTAAGGGGCTTTCGGGCTTTGGATGCCGGACAAGGAGCATGGTGGCCGGCAAGCAGGTACTTGAAATGCTTGTTGAAACGGCTCTGTCGAAGACTTGGGCCAAAAGACTACGTGCTTCGGCGGCCCTGGATCCACTACTTCCGTGGCTCACACGGTCGGGCTTTAGGGCAGTGCAGGGTTTGGGGTCCTGAACCTTACAGCTAGATGCCCCACTCCTCTGAAGAGAGACCCAAAGCCAGAGCCTCAGAGTTTCGAGCTGCTTCGAGCTTTCTTCTGATCCGTTCGTATGGTGATTTCTCTAAATGATGGTCGGGGGTCCTTATTATGAGGCGGCCCCTCTTATTTAGGGGACCCAAAATAGATCCTTAATTTAGATGACCATATGCATCCCTACCACCTCACTGCGAGGACACTTCTGTGTGCAACGGCACTGGGGGTCTTCCGGCCTGACTGCGCCCTGACTTGAGAACCCACGAGGCTTGCTGATGCTTGCTGTTGCAACTCTGCTACTTAGGGTTTTGGGTTTTGAGGCTTTTGAAGCCTATTTTTTGCAGCTGGAACTCGTCGATGCCAGACAAACCCCCTAAACCCTCAAACGCATCGACTCACTCTCCGCCCGTGGTGGCTGTGCCGGGCTGGGTGGCCTGGTACCCCCCACTGGGCCTCAGAGTTTCTTTGCGTCGGACTTTTTGAGTGCTTCGGCAGCTTCACTTGGGGTTCTAGAGTTTCGGTGGTTTGGAACGTTGAGGTTTTGCAGGTCTTTAGGGTTTAGGGTTTAGGGTTCAGGGTTCAGGGTTTCGGGTTCAGGGTTTAGGGTTTCGGGTTTCGGGTTTAAGTGCGTTCAAGGCTTCGGGCACAAGATGTGTTGCCCACATGCGGCCCTGTGGCGGGGCCAAGTGCGTCTCCACAGCCACAGGCTGCTCCGCCCAGTCCTGGCCACGTGGCTGTACAGCATGTTGAGATGACAAAAACAACAGCAATCACACAAGAAATAGTACTAGTAATAGTGAAATTAATAGTCATAGTCATAGTAATAGTAATAGTCACAGTAATAGTAATAATAGTCATAAAAATAGTAATAGTGATCGTGATAGTAATAGTCATAATCATAGAATAGTAATAGTACTAGTACTAGCAATAGTGGCGGGGCATTGAGCACTTGGCTGCTGGATTGATATTCTAATAGCCCAAAAATATGAAGTGTACTCATTCAGCCACGAAGAACATCCAGAAAATCGCACCAATGGGCCTCGTAGCCGAGCCGGACCGTCCATGCCTCCACCGCCGGCGGCAGCGTTCCAGGGGCCACCTGGGAACCCTCAAAGGGTTTAGGGTTTAGGGTTTAGGGTTTAGGGTTTAGGGTTCAGGGTTCAGGGTTTAGGGTTTAGGGTTTAGCTACCCCTAAACCCCTTTGAACCCAGACTCGGACAAGCTCCCTAAACCCTAAACCCTATATGTTGAACGCACTTCCTTTGCAGGTCCTTGAGGTTAGGTTGCTTGTTTGTTTTCCTTGTTGCTTCTAGGCCCAAACAGTAGCCTTGAGCATGCAACACTTTAAGACATTTTGTACAGTATCACACTTTAGGTGCCGTAGCCTATAGTGTAGTAGACCACAAACTTCATGATTGTCTTTGTCTGCTTGCTGTGAAAATAGTAGCTCCGCACTTTGTGAGGGCCATGGCTGGGAATGTTGATTTGAGGGAACAGGCCACTCCACTCATTTCCACCTCTCAGCCTGCTGGTTCTCACCAGCAGGTTATGAGCCCAACGCAGGGCTACGGCACCGTGATGCCGCAATCATCCCAACCTCCCGGGAGGGATGGTTTGCAAGAGCATATGCATTCCGCAACACCTGATGCACCCACCGCCGGCATTGAGGGTGGTTTGGGTTTTGTGGATATGGCTGCGGGAAGGGCGCGTGCTAGTATAGACCCAGCAGAAGGCGTGCAGCATGCGTCGACCACCACTGAGGGTGGGATATTGCACGGTTGGGTCAAGTGCTTCGCCGCCGCAGCCGGACTCAATCGGCACACCCACCACTTTTGGCCCCGGGCCCGGGAGGGAATCCCCATTACTCAATGCCGAGTTGCTACAACGCATGCAAGCGCTTGAGCAAAGGGCCCCACTCCTTTACCCTTGATCTGCAGCCCCTGAACGCCCCTCGAGCCGTACCGAGTCGTCATCGCTCCCTCAAGAGGCAATTCAAGCAGAGGTTGCCAGGCAGCTTGCAGGTTTTGAGGCTAGAGCCCAGGCGCAGGAGGTGGAGAATCAGAGGTTGAGGCAGCTACTTGAGAGGAGTGAGCAGAGAGAGAGGTCCATGCGGGAAGTAGTGTCAATGCAAGCACAGACCCCAAGTGGCCCACCTCTAGTCCCTACTGCCGCTCATGCGCATGTTGAGGCCCCTCTGCCAGCACCATCTCTTGCCCATCAGGTGCAGGATGCCACCTTGCAGGTGATGGACGCATTGAGGGCGCCTGCGTCTGCGTCAGGGTTTTGGTCATTTGTGGTCGGGTTTGCAGGGTTCGCAAAGGTTGCCCAGCAATGCAACCCCACCCGGAAGGGCTGGGCATGTGCGTGAGCCCATGGCTCAATCTGCCCAGGTTGCACAGGTGCCAGGTACTGCCCAAGATGCACAGGTGCCAGGTACTCACAGGGCCTCTTCTGGCCCAGACCCCACTTTCCAGCCCGAAACCCCAGGTCTGGGGCAGATGAGGGCTGAAGGGGCCAATTCCGGCACAAGTCCACATTCTCGGCCCGAGAACCTGGGTTTGTGGCAGATTCCAGCAACTCCTCAGGTTTCAGGCGGTTTTGCCAGCACCGCAGGCCAAACGCCACCCGGGAGGGTCGGGCAGGTGCCCGACACTCAAGGTCCTCAGGTTTCAGCCGCCACTGCAGCTCCACATGAGCAGCCCGCCACGCGTGAGGTGCCAAGTTCCGTAGTGGATGCACTGGTTTTAGGGGTGCAACAGCTGCAAAGCTTGCAAGCTCAGCAGCTCAAGGTCAAAGGTGACGATGCCCCTGAAGCAGTGAAACCAGGCATCACAACACTGCCCAAACTTGTTGCCCCCAACCCGTCAGGTGGGTCGTTGGAGTTTCAAGATTGGCTTGAGTTGGTTGGTGGATTGATGAGTGATGTGTCGGATTCATCGCAGCTTTGGTGGACAAGCGTGTTGCAGTTGGCACGTGATGCCTTCGCCCGTTGGAGCGTTTCGTCCCCCGTGGAGCGGTTGAGAGTGGCCCCGGATGACAGGACGGAGATTGTTGAGGGCAAGTGGTCGCGTGTGAATGCCAGGGCGTGTGCCATGTTGTTGGATTCGTTGGACGTGTCCGTGAAGGCCGACATTGTAGCACGTAGAGCCACACAAAACGCAGCACACATCATGTTTCGCCTACATACGATTTACCAGCCAGGTGGGACCAACGAGCGCGACCTGATACTCAGGAACTTGCATGATCCACCACCGTTTAAGGACGTGGTTGCTGGAGTGAGTTTGCTGAGGTCTTGGGGTCGTTGGCATCGCCGTTGTTTGGAATGTGGCATGGTTGCTCCTGATCCCTCCATCTTGGCCCGTGGGTTGACCACTGTGACGTCGCAGCACATTGCCAGGAATCCAGACGTGCAGTTTCGCACTCAGGTGGTACGCAGCGCGCTGCACATTGACCTTCACCCGTCGGGAGATGAGGTTTTAGACTACCACAAGCATTTGTTGGCTGAGTTTGAAACTATGGCCGGTGGGGTAGACCCTAAGAAGGTAGATCCTAAGGTCCAGGCATTAAATGCCGCAGCCGAAGCATCAGGTGGTGGAAACCAACCTCTGGGGAAGGGTGCTGGAGGAGCAGGTGGTAAGCCGTGTAAGTTCTTTCTCTCGCCAAAGGGTTGCAGGAATGGTCCCAAATGCAAGTTCCCTCATTCCATGACCGAGCTCTCGAAAGCTGAGCGTTTCAAGAAGTGCCTGGTGTGTGGTTCTGAGGAACACCGTGCAAAGGACTGCCCATTAGGTAAGGGCTCAAAACCTGAGGCCAAAACGCATGAGCAGCCCACGACGCGCAAAACCACCCCCCAGGCATCGGGCCCAGGAGGAGTGGGAGGACAGGATGCATCGCCTCCAGCTTCAGCTTCATCACAGGTGCCAGTGCAGGCCACGCCCATCACCATGAATGGTCAACCTGTTACGCTAGAGTCCTTTATGCAAGAGGCAGTGAAGGCTTTGAGGCAGGTTGAGGTGAGCCCGGGCACGAGTGAAGCGCAACCGTCAAACAGTACGTCCCAAACCCCTCCAAATGCATCCCTCAAGCGCCTTGCAGTCCTTGGTTTGGGTGAGGAAAAGCCAGCTAGGAGCTCCCCCGAAACGTCCGTGCTGCACGTGCAATCTTTAGAGGTTGGGGATGGTGGGGAGTTGTTAGCCTTGGTGGACTCGGGTGCCACGCACGCTATGAGGGCAGCGTCATCCCAGGAGGAGTGGGAGCAGGCTACGCAAGTGGCGGTGAGTTTGGCGGGGGAGAACACCACGTCTATGAGACTCACTGCTAGTGGCACTCTGCTTTTGCCTCCGGGAGGGATGGCTCCGCGCAAACCATTGTGCCCACGGGTGCAATTGTGGAGCAACTTGGTTACACCCTTATGTGGTCCGCCGGCAGCTGCAAACTCCTTCACCCTGACGGGCGGAAGTTGAAGCTTCGTGTCCGCAATGGTTGCCCGGAACTTGTGCAGTCCAAGGCGTTGGAGTTGATATCGCGCTTAGAGGAGAGAAAGCTGGCGGAAATTGAGCAGCTCAAGCGCCACACTGAGGAAGGCAGGGACAGGATTCGTCAGGCCAGGATTGCACTTGAGAAGAGCTGGTGGGAGCACTTGATGGACTACGCCCTGATGGCGTTTCCTGCTCAGGTGACGCCGCTGTTGCAAATGCACCGTTCTTCACTGATGTTCCCCGTTGTGCGTTGCGAGGTTTGGTCCCTTCAGGTGACGCGGGCGACGAGTCATTGTGGGACATGTTGCGCAGTGCTCTGCCCAACCTCAACAGGAGGAGGAGGAAGGCGCTACAGCAGTCAAGGCGTTGGATTGTCCACTTGTTTGCAGGCCCGCGCCCTCATAAGACCTTTGCACGGCTTGAGCGTGATGGCACAGTTGTGTTGGAGCTTGATGTGACTCAGTGCGCAGCGCATGATTTGAACCGTCTTTCACTTTGGGCACTCCTGCTTAAAGCGGCGAGGGATGGGCGCATTGCAGCAGTGATTGGTGGCCCTCCTTGTCGCACTATGTCTGTTCTCCGGCATAAACCTGGAGGCCCAAGGCCAGCAAGGTCCCCTAGTGAGCCGTATGGGTTGAGCGATCTCAGTGCTAGTGAGCGTGCGTTGGTGAACAATGACACGGGGCTGTTTGCTCGGATGTTGTTCTTGCATGCAACAGCGACGGCCGGAAGGCGTGTCCATCGTCAGTCCGTGCACCATTCGTCGCAGGTGGCATTCTTACTCGAGCAACCTCAGCCTGTTGATCGCTATCTTCCTGTTGGCCATTCGTTGGTTGGTGAGGTTCCCTCGTTTTGGCACACAAACTTGTGGCGTGCATATGCATTAGAGGCAGGTCTTTTCGAAGTCGATTTTGACCAAGGTGCCCTAGGACACGCAACCACAAAGCCAACCACCATCGGCACCAACCTTCCTGACCTGAGGGGCTTGCACGGCCTCCGGAAGGAGTGTCCTACACTGGCATGGAAAGGCGACTCAAAGGACTTAGCCGCGTGGGCGCCGCAGTTTGTGCAAGCTGTTGTTCATGCGTTGCAATGTTGGCCCCGCTACCAGCTATGCCGCATGACGCCCGAGGACTGGCAACGACATGTAGAAAATAACCACGTTCCATACCGTAGGGATTGTGGAGTTTGCGTACGTGGCGCCGGCACCGGCCGTAGCATCAAGGAGTCACACATCCAGATGTGTATTGCCTGTCTGCCGACGTGGCTGGTCCCATCAGAGTCCCTGCAAAAGACCCCGAGGGTAGGAGCAAACACCCGCCTGTGTTCCGGTACTTTTTAGCAGCGTCCTATCGTTTTCCTAAACTCCAAGGGACAAAGGACGAACCCAACCCAACGCAGGTTGATGGGTTCGATGATCCTTCACTCCACCCTGGCGGGGAGGACGAGTTAGCCGACGTTGTTGTGGAAGGCCCGCCGGAGCCAGAGCACCTCCCTGACGGGAAGGTTGTGCTGCCCGAGGATTGTTTAGGATATTGTCCTACAAGTGAGTCTGAAAATGACGCGTGTAAAGAAGCAGGCGCGTTACGCGTAGCAGCCGCAAAGGCCAAGGCCAAACCAAGCAAACCCAAGGAAGAACACCCTTGGGAAAGGGCCAAGTGTGAGTTTGAAGCTCCGCCAGGCCTAGCTAGGTTGGTGTTTGTTGTTCCGCTGCACACAAACAAGAGCGAGGCAGTGCTAGAGGCGCTACAACAAGTGTTCCTAGAACTTCGCTCATTGAACCTTCCTGTGCTGCGCTTCCACTCGGATAGAAGTCGGGAGTTCTTTAACAAAAGGACCCGAGCTTGGTTTCACGAGCACGGGGTGCGTACTACCACAGCTGAAGGAGATACGCCGCAGCAAAACGGAGCAGCTGAGAACACCATCCGCTGGTTAAAGGCTAGGGCGCGCACGCTCCTCGCCCAGGCCGAAGTTGGAACAGAGCTGTGGGCATGTGCAATGGCCACTGCGGTATCGCAGCAACGTGCGCAACAGCTTGGCCTCAAGTCCAAGCTTGCAGCTCCGTTTGGGGCACCGTGCTCTGTGAAACTTAAGTTTTACGGACCTTCTAGGGGTGACTTAGGGGATAGGTGGGTAGATGGTAAGTACATGGGGTTGTCGCCTTCTGTGAATGATGGCCACATTGTCCTACGCAACGACGGAGTGGGCAACGGCTTCCTGCAAACGCTCCATGTGCGCTCACGCCTCCATTCGCCAGAGATGCCAGACCGCGTGTTTGAGGGCGATGTGAGGGAGCCTGCGCCGCTCGAGCCGGCAAGGCGTGTGCGTGGGAAGTCCGAGCCAGCACTTGGCGAGCCACCTCTGCCGCCGCCTCCTCTTCCACCGCCGGAAGGTGAGCGCGTGCCCGTGCCTGCAAGTCGCACTCGACTCCGTGGGAAGTCAAGCCCTGCAGTTAGCAAGCCTTTGCTGTTCCCACTGCCTGACGGTGAGTGTCCGCCTAAGCAATGTGAAGCCGTTAAGGAGGAGTTTAGGGCTAGTCGGTTTAGTGTTGTGGACCTTGAGGGTTTCGCAAAGGAGTTACTGCTTGAAGACTGGGACCTTGAAGAGGCCATGTGGGTCTTGGTCCAGTTCAGCCGTCTGCAGTCTCTTAAGGCCGGCCTTTACCGACACGGTGGTGTAGTAGGCACCATGAGTGCAACAAACTCTTACCCCTGGCTCACAGAGCTGATGGCCGCGACGCTCCTGTCTGCAAGTCCCGAGGCCGAGTTCACAAGTCTTTGGCTGTCCAATACGAACCCCATGTCCTTGCACGCAGACCACAACAATGTAGAAGGGTCTGTCAACGTAGTCTTTCCACTCAAGCTCCCTCCTGATATCCACGGCTCTGTCGAGCAACGGGTTGACGGTACAGGAAAGAAGTGGTTGGGCACAACGCACAGCTTGCAGAGAGGCAAGCCCTTCTACTTGGACCCCAAACGCCGTCATGCTACTACCCCTTTTGAAGGTGAAAGGGTTGTGCTCGTAGCCTACACCGTTAACACCTTAGGGAAGGTGCCAGAGTCTGAGCTCCAAGCCCTCGAGTCCTTAGGCTTTCCGCTCCCTGCTTCAGCACGCTTGCCACTCACAACGCAGCAAGCTGTCAGGCACTTGGACGTGTTTGACATGTTCGAGGAGGGTCCCTTAGAGCTAGCAGGTGAAGACTGCCCGAAGAAAGTAGAGAAGGGTGGGGGTTGGAAAGAGACTCAGAAGGTAGAGGCTGGAACTGTAGAGCTAGAGGTCTCGTGGAAACTCAAGCACACTCCGGTGCAGCACGAGCAGACACCTTGCGTTCTGCAGACCCTGGAGCCAAAACCCCATGCGCAGGTCGAGGAGGAGTCCTGGCCAGAACAGCCTGTGCAGTGGGAGCTGTGGCTTCCAGACCCCCAAAGTGGCCAGCAACTGTGTGCACTCCGGTCTGACGACCTGGACCTGCGTCTTTGCAAGTCCGAGCCAGCGTACACTCCAGACATTGAACAGCTGCTCAGTGGTTTAACTGAACCACTGCAGATAGTTCATACTGTCGACCCGCGAGAGGCGGAAAAGCACAGTGAAGTGTGGATCCCGTCAATCCTGAAAGAGATCGGGGTCATAGAAAAAGCTGTGCACCGTTTGCCGCCTAGCGAGGTGCGCAAAGGGAACTGGCTTCACCGCACTGACGTGAGGGTTGTGCCGGCAAAGCTGGTTTTCACTGTTAAGCCTCCTGACGTGCAAACCACCGCGCCCGGGAACGGGGAGCACGCAACCCAGGCAAGCTTGTTCAAACGCAAGGCGAGGCTTGTTGCGTGTGGAAACCATGCCCCTTCCACTGGCACCGAAATATACGCGTCAGGTGCTGCAGCAGAGTCACTTCGTTGTTTGGTTGTCATTAGCTCTAAGAGGGGTTGGATGCTAGGCATCTTGGATGTAACCTCAGCGTTCCTCCTCACGCCCATTCCCCAGGGTGACGGGTTCCCTGTGTTTGCCCTAACGCCGCCGCGCTACCTTGCGCGGCAAGGTCTTGCGCAGGAGGGAGAGCTTTGGATCCTCACACACGCCGTCTATGGACTCAGGGAGTCACCAAAGCTGTGGTCAGACTTTAGGGACTCTCAGCTTCTTAACCTTAGATGCGTGGTCAACGGGGTTGAGCTGCAGCTACTCAAGGGCAAGTTAGACACGAACTGGTGGCGCATCGTGCAAACCAGTGATGGTCAAGTCGTGGGAGGTTTAATCACCTACGTTGATGACTTCCTACTTGCTGGATGTGTTGAAGTCATCAAGGCTCTCGCCAAGGCCATCCAGTCGATCTGGAAAACGACGCCCCTCACACTTGCCACGCCGCAGCAGCCGTTAAGGTTTCTAGGGGTTGAGATCCTAGTGCAGGGTTTAAGGTTTGTTCTGTCGCAGCAGGCCTACGCAGAGGAGCTGCTACGCCTCAACAATGTCAAGCCCACTGCGCTGGGGAAGATCCCTTGCCCAAGAGACTTGGTGTCCTATGACACTCTCCTGACGGATGAGGCGCCCACCGAGGAGTCAGTTCGTACAGCCCAGAGGCTGACCGGAGAAATCTTGTGGCTGAGCCAGCGAACGAGGCCGGATCTCGCGTTCACCGCTTGTGTCCTTGCTACGTTGAGCACAAAGGCGCCCGAAAGGGCTGCACGCATCGCTGAAAGGGCACTTGCGTACGTGCAGCAAACCAAGGCCTTTGCTCTCACTGCTGACGCAGATGACACGGGCTTAGTTGCATACAGCGATGCCTCTTTTGCGCCAGATGGCAATCGCTCGCACACTGGTTGGGTTGTCTTCCTCTACGGCTCTCCTGTCTGTTGGCGTTCCGCTAGGCAGTCGTTTGTCACACTCAGCACTGCAGAGTCCGAGCTCGTCGCAGGACTTGATGCCGTCGTTGCACTGCAGTCAGCAGAGGCCACGCTGGGTGAGTTTGGGGTCTTTAACTTGGGTACGCCAACTCTTTGCGAGAGCAGTATGAGGCAGGAGAGATAATCCCCGTTTACTGCCCAGGTGTGGAGCAGGCTGCAGACCTCCTCACGAAAGCGCTTCCTGCAGCGAGGATCCTCGAGCTCGCAGCCATTTGGGGTTTGTTCGAGCACTGTCCAGAGGACCCCCGCCAAGCGGAAGCTGTGGCTGCCGACCTGCCTACCCACCCTCAGTATCCGCAGATCAAGTTGCTTTTCCTATTGCTTGCAATGGTGCAGATCCAAAGTGCCAAGTGTCAGCCTGAGCTCTTAGATGAAGAGGAGGGAGATGTACATCAGGTTGAATTAAGTACGGATCTCATGTTCATCTTGCTTGTGGGTTTTGTTGGCATTGGCTTTATTGCCGTGTGGGAGCTTGCCAAGTGGTGCCTGAGACGCCACTCTCTTTGCCGAATCCACAGCACTGCCAAGCAGAGGAAATTGCAACGCCTTCGTGACCGAACGGCCCGAGCAATCGAGGCCGAACTTTCCGCACGCAGGCAGCCAGAAGCTGGAGCGCCAACTCGTTACTTTGCTGTCCCTGAGGGGGAGAAGCTCCATCGCACCAAGGACTGTCCTGCAATTGCAAGGTCATCCAATCTTTGCACATTTGAGGTGTGTCAGCGGTGCCACCGGCGTGCACCAGATCACACCATGCGCAGCACAGGGTAGGTACTACTCCGCCCTGACGGGCAGGATGTGCATCGCATCGCGCATTCATGCTAAGTTTTTCCCTCTTTTGCACTGCAATTTGCAGTTTGCAGAGATGCTCGCATGCATCTCTTTCTGAGCGCCTTAGGGTAGAGAACACTCTCCACCCTGACGGGCAGGACCTGCACAGAAGTAGGAGTATGGTAGGTCGCTGTCCCCTGGCGAGGCCGCGAAGGAGGAGTGTTGAACGCACTTCCTTTGCAGGTCCTTGAGGTTAGGTTGCTTGTTTGTTTTCCTTGTTGCTTCTAGGCCCAAACAGTAGCCTTGAGCATGCAACACTTTAAGACATTTTGTACAGTATCACACTTTAGGTGCCGTAGCCTATAGTGTAGTAGATCACAAACTTCATGATTGTCTTTGTCTGCTTGCTGTGAAAATAGTAGCTCCGCACTTTGTGAGGGCCATGGCTGGGAATGTTGATTTGAGGGAACAGGCCACTCCACTCATTTCCATCTCAGCCTGCTGGTTCTCACCAGCACTATACCTAAACCCTATCCCCAAACCCCAAACCCCAAACCCTAAACCCTAAACCCTAAACCCTACAAACCCTCATGTCTATTGGGGTGCTTCGGCTTTGCGGCGGCGAGTCGCCGACTCTTCACACACTCGGCCGCTTCGGCACACACAAGGGTTTGACTTACTGTGGGAAGCAGGGAATGAGGGAATCAGGGCCCTATGCATACACACACACACACATATATATATATATATATGCATATGTATATATATATATACCCGAAGGTCGACGTCCTAAAGCCTGAGCCCCAAATCCGACACCAAAAACACGCAACAACCGGCCCCAAGCCCCAATGTCCGGGCCGTCCCCGCTAGACCACTCCCACGCACCTCCGCATCGTGTGCTGGTGCAGACACTACGTGCGTGCGAAGCACACACGTGTGTCTAGTATATATATATATATATATATATATATATATATATATACATATACCCTTTTTCAGGGATTATGCCTATATGTATATATATATGTATATATATATATATGTATATATATATATATACCCTTTAAGGGATTCTGCCCATATATATACATATATATATATACATATATATGTGCATTCCCTGCGAGCCAGCAGTAAGTTGATGCACATCATGCTCGGACTTCGGCTGGATGCAAGCTACGCATGGAACCCGCCGCCGCCTTCTCCTGCAAGATTGTTTAGGTTTCGGGTTTAGGGTTTTTTGCCACCCGGCGGTTTAGGGTTTAGGGTTTAGGGTTTAGGGTTTAGGGTTTAGGGTTTAGGGTTTAGGGTTTAGGGCCTAGGGTTTAGGGTTTAGGGCTCAAAGGTTGGGATTCGCGGTTGCAGGCCATCGGCTGAGGGAGCTGAGAGGGCGTTTGGCGGGTGCCCCAGTAATGGGCACTGCGGGCTGCAGATAGGCATGGCTTACATGGCACTGAGACAGACAGCTTTGTGGGAACATGGGAGATGGTTTGGGGGCGCTCGCAGCAGGGCACACCATACGAGGCTACAGCTTGACCATGAGGTTAGGCTTCTGTGATTCCACTGTTATTTCCACAGTGTTGCGCCGCCCTTCTCCACACCCCGAGTCCTGGTCTTTGTACTCACAGCTGCCCACTCGCCAGTACCTGACACCCCCAGTAGTGTAGAACCGCGGTGTGAGTGTAACGGGGCCCAATGGGGCAGCAGCAAGCAGTTTTCCGTGCTAAAGCTGCAGCGACCAAGAATCCCTCCAAGCGAGACCCTTGCACAAATCCCGCAAGGGCGCCTCTCAGCGTCTAGGTACAGGAACCGCTCGTACGGCCCCGACCGCAGCACAAAAACTGGCGGCATCTCCTTGCGGGCAATATGCGTTTCTGGGCAGTTGCTGCAGTTCCGCAAAACCTCCCAAACTGGAGCACAGGATTTATGAAACACGCAGGTGAGGCAGGGTTGGCACTGGAGCGACCTAAGGATCAGTTTTTCAGGGCATGAGACGTCAGCAAAAACTAGCTCTCGGACATAGTGACGTATGAGTTGGTCTTGCTACTCGCCTTTTATTAAAGGTTAAAACTTGGGATGTTCCCCTTTATCCTAATAACCCTTAACTTAACAGGAATTATAATAGGGGGTACGATAATCCCCTAGCCAAAGAGCCCAACATCCCTTAATTAGGGAATATTACTGAATTTATATAGGGATCCTTAATATGCTTTAAGGTCTATTCCTTGATTAAGGGGTATTGGGCTCTTTGGGTAGGGACTGTTAATATAAGGGGGGAACATCCCAAGTTGCGAAGCTCTAAACCCTAAACCCTAAACCCTAAACCCTAGACCCTAATTCCTGAACCCTAGGCCCTAAACCCTAACCCTTACCCAAGCGGCTGGATGGATGATTTCCACGTCGTAGATGCCGTTTGTCCAGTGGTTACCGAACTGGCCCTCGGCACCTCGCAGACAAACCAGCCCCAAACCCTAAACCCTCAACCCTAAACCCCAAACCCTAAACCCTAAACCCTAAACCCCGAGCCCTAAACCCCTGAACCCCGAGCCCCTCGACGCAGAATCATCTCCAACATCAAAGAGAATACGAAGTGTCTCCGAAACAACAAGCCACCAAACCCTAAACCCCAAAGCCTTAAGTACTCCAAGATCCAACCCTGCATCCCGGGGTGCCAAAAAGACGAGCCACCGGCGATGCGCAGCGCTGGGCAACTCTTGGCAGGGCCACACTGGGCCCACTTGGGGTCCTTGCGTTGGAGGGTTTAGGGTTTAGGGTTTAGGGTTTAGGGTTTAGGGTTTAGGGTTTAGGGTTTAGGGTTTAGGGTTTAGGGTTTAGGGTTTTTTTTGGCACCCGACTAGCCACAGCACAGCGGGGTCTATAGGTAGGTCTCGGAGAATCGGAAAGAAACCCCAGGGTAAGGCTCACCTTGGGAAGCCGCTAATGGCATTCAGAGTAGGAAATGGTACCGACATAGGTGGTCTCCCGCACCCCCCCCTATGAACCAGAGCACAACCGGCAACGACAGCCTTCAACAAAACACAGGACCCAAAACCGAACCCCATGCTGGGAGGTGTGGGAGGCATTAAACACCGCTGCATCCCTGTACAAGCCAAACACCCAACACCCCTCCAAGCCTGACCTCATCCTGGCCTTCAAGGCGCAATGGTCCATGTTTCAGTGGCTACTTATACATCAGGACAGCTTGGCGAGTATGTGCAACTGATTATAAATTGAGGGTTGGACGAATTATGAGTTGAGTGCAGCTTTCACATTCAGGACTTCCGAATTGATCATGCATATCGCCCGACTATAAATGAGGGGGAGCTTCCGAATTATGCGGCGCCAATCACCAAGAGGATCATCTACGTATCGCGGGAGCCAGGAGCGTCTGCTTAGCGGGGTCCGTTGGGGAGGAGGAAGGCAACTATAGTGCCCCCGGCAACTTAATAAGTGCCCGGGGACACTGAAGAACTGTGGCCCGGTGCGCTAGCTGGCCAACCGTGAACCCTTCGGCTCCCGCATGCGTGTTGCTCGGCCTCGGCTCCGTTCTCTCATTGTGTCCGTTCATTTATGCACGCAATTACGAATTTTGAATTTCAAATTACAAATTATGAGTTAATGCATGCACCGAAGTGAGACGGAGCGTCGAAGAGTCAGTGAGGGTGTACACATCGACAGCGTGCGTCTGGGACACCTTGCTGAACGCGGTCCTAGCCAACGTTTCGAGCTCCCTGCAAGCAGCGGACCCTGCTTGCCTTAGTCGTCCGGCCATGGTGTTCACTTTGTACTGCCTGAGTCATCAGCATGCAGCGTGTCGTGTTGCGTCCAGGTCCAACAATGCATGCCGAGCGCGAAAGGATGGCCCATGCCCAGGTAGCGGCACATTCGCATCGTGATGCAGCACCAAGATAGGATGTCCACATGGCGTTCTTCTATGTGGCAGCGTTGGAGGTCACCACTTGTTCGGATCTGGGCCTCCGCTCCACCCTCTGCCACCATCTGAGGCGCGCAGCCGAAGCCGCAGCCGCCACAGGCGCTGAAGCCGCCGAAGGCGCCAAAGCCGCAGCCGGCAAGCCAAGGCATTGGTGCCCAACACAGGCCGCCATTCAGCAGCGAGACGCCGATGAAGGTTGGATCCATGGCTCAGAGCTGAATCTTCGGAATGAGGTTTGGGGTTTTTGGGGTTGCCTGGCTTCAGGGTTGAAGGCTTTATGGGTTCAACGGCTCAATGGTTTAAGGGTTTAAGGGTTTAAGGGCTCAATGGTTTAAGGGTTTAAGGAGCAGCTGTTGTTTAGGGTTTAGGGTTTAGCGTGTATATACATGTTTCCATTCGTGAGGAGCTTGAGCCAAAATGGCTACGTTTAGGGTTCAGGGTTTAGGGTTTAGGGTTTAGGGTTTAGGGTTTAGGGTTTAGGGTTTAGGGTTTAGGGTTTAGGGTTTATAGGGTTGGGGTTTCGGGCTCGGAGGTTCGACACCCAAGTGCCGAGGCAACATCGAAGACAACCGAAGCAACCCTGACCGACCGGTCATCATTTGGGGACCCTGCTGCCTCACCTATAAATATAACCCATTGAGCTAACCGTACCTACCCACACCCCTCCGGGCGAGGGGATGTCAGGCAGCTTTGCGGAAGGTGTGGGGAGCAGGGTGTGCATGGGTGCTATCCGGGATTGAAGGACTGCTTCGATGGGCTTCGACAAATCCTCTGAATCCTAAACCCTAAACCCTAAACCCTAAACCCTAATTCGGCACAAGAGTCGCTCTGGTGCTTAGTGGTCTGGCTGCTGGAATTGCTGCCGAAGCCCCACATGGCAATTCAGCAAGACTGGCGGCTCGGGCAGTCTGGGCGACTATGGTGTCTCTTCGGCGCCTACGGATCCCCTGCGCTTTGGAGGAATAGAGGGGCTTCTCTGGGGATGCTTTGGGCTTGCGGGATGTCGGACAAAACCAAGTTGAAGAACTCAAGTTTTCAACCCAAGCCCAGCATCACTCCAAATACCCTACCGCATGCTTCGCAACACATTCTTGCAGGAAGCAGCACGTCATAGCACGTCCCTGCAAGCCGAAAGCCACTGAAGCTGAGAGCCAAAACACCACGGTGCAACGAGGCTTCGTCCGTCGTGATTATGCTTGGATTTCGCAGGAGACTCTTTTCTCAACAACTGTTCCAACAATTCTTCCCTAAACCCTAGGCCCTTTTTGCATCCAGGCCTCTAACAGATTGGCTGGGAAAGTTGTTAACCCCTAAACCCTGAACCCCAGAACCTCACACCCTAAACCCTTGTTTACGGCTAGCACTGCTGCACTGCCTGCCTGGGACGAAACCATGCCATTCAAGAGCCTAAACCCTAAACCCTAAACCCTAAACCCCTGAACCTTAAACCCTAAACCCTAGGCCCTTGTTGTTCATCGAGGTTTGAGCTGGAAGCCTTGGCCTGGGGCCGCTGCATAGCCGCAAAGCACAAAAAACATCATGGGGAGCTCGGTTTTGGCACCCACCTGCGCGTGCGGAGCTTCCTTGTTTGCGGCGTACGCAACGAACGACGCCTGCTATAGCGTCGGGAGGAACTTGCTTGTTTTCTGGGGCTTTCCCACCTTGTGATGTTTAGCCGGGGGGCGGTGGGTGGGCAGGCGGCGCGGCGGGCGAGGCGGGTGGGAACGGGAGGAACAAGTCAGGTGGGGGAGGGGGGTAACTGCGTCCTGCTGCTTGCTACATAGCAGACCCAAACAAAAAACACCGTGCAGGCTCTGGAACAAAGAGCATTTGCCTGGGCAAAACGCTCAAATCTGAACAAAAAAGCGGCCCCCGTCGAGGATTCTCGCGCAACGTTAGCATCCAATGCCCTTTTCACGCATGCCACCAAACACACGACGCTGTGCAAGTGCCGTTACCTTGTTACACACACACACACACACACACACACACACACACACACACATGTTTGCACCGCTCGTGCCCCACGTCGTCAGTCGTGGTTCAAGGCTCAACCTCTCCCCTAATCGTAAACCTCCCTGACAGCAGGTAGTACAATAACCGTATACCGTCATAACCCTGAACCCTTGGCCTGCGTGACGAGGAGGTTGGGCAGGATGCGTGCACCGACGTTCCTTGGTGGTGAACACTTTAAGTTCGCCTCGCTTCTCCACCTTGTTTGGTTCCACTTTGAGTGCCTGGCATGGAGAACCAATATTTAATATGTTCATGCGCTGGGACTGGTACTGCTTAGTGGAGGGACCGGGAGATGTTTTGGATGCTTTCGCCTTGTGCAATCCCTCTGCTGCCTTCCTCACAATCCTAACTAGCATCAGCGGTTGCATAGCTGGCACAGCAGTGTCAGAGCGGTGTCTGCGAGAGTAGGTGCACGGCAGCCACTGTGGTCAGGAGAAATTATAAAGCTGCGGGGCTTATTCCTGCCTTACGTCTTGCGTTCGCACTCACAACCGAAAGTCCTCCTGGTCGACACAAACATCGCTTGCGGTACCAGGACAGGACAGGGCTCTCAGCAAAGATCGGGGCCAGAAAAGAGGTATTGTAGCCCAGCGCCTTCATCGCAGCAATGCTAAGACCCTGCTGTCAACTGCTTGTTGCGGCAGCGTTTTGGGGCCTTTGTGTCCTTCAGGCCTTCCCCCACTTAAAAAGGGAATGGTTCCCTGTTCAGACGTCAATGTTCGCCCCTTGCCTCAAGGCAGTGTTGACGCAAAAAAGTGTCTTGGTGTCCCGATGGTGTCCCGAATTCCAGCCTGTGTAGGGGCTGTAGGAGCTAGCTTTAAGGACAATGAGGCCACATGCTAAAACAAAGGCTCTGACATTCGAAGAGTTATGTACCGCACCCTGACCGAGCTCCTTCGCATGCGCGGTGAGTGGGACCCACAGGAAGTTTCGCAGCATCTCATCCTCAGCCACGGTACGGAAACCAGAAATGGACCGAAGTAAAGGCAGCAACAAGGGCCGAACCAGGGAATCCCTAAACCCTAAACGCTGAGGATATGGCAAGCCATGCAAGGGCGACCTCAGGGGCGAAGGAAAGCGCAGCTGACTCAGCTGGAGTGGCTGCGCAAGCACACGGACGCATGCACTGGCGCATGCACACACACACACACACACCAGCCAGTCTGAACAGCCATTCGAATGTCAAAGCCTATACAGTCTAGCTCTTTCAGGTTAGGCAAGAAGGAGCCTAAGCCCGGCACCACTTGCCACCAGGCCAACATGCTCGCCGCATTGGCCCCAAAATGCTCTGTTAAAGGCGGCTCCCTGCTGAATCAGCTTTCCAGTTCAAGAACCCTAAACCCTTTTGCAACTGGGACTTGGTGACTGCCAGAAAGTTTTTTGCAACCCTAAACCCTAAACCCTAAACGGTCAAGGGATACGTCTACTGCCCGTCAGGCTGTGGAGGCCACTCACTCTCGGCTGAATGCTGAAGAACCATCTTGAACCCAAAAACCTCAGGGGGGGGGGGGCATCGGTCTTTGTGCTTGAGAAGTGAAGGGCTGTGCCTTTAACCGCATCTTTGTAAAACACAAAAACAATGCTTGGAGAGCATGGGTCTTCGGGCTGAGATGCATCGATGTCAACTGACCTTTGCTGCGAGGTGCATCACTGACAATGGGATCGTCGTCGTCCAAAGGCCGCTTCTTCTTTGCTTCCTACTGCAAACCCCTTGAAACCCCTTTCCCCACCCTGGGCAGCCAAGTAATAACCATCCTGTTGTATTTTCCCCTCTTGACCCAAATTCAATATCTCAGCGGTATTTCAACCCCACCCGTAGTCTCCGTATTCTCGAGTGGGTTTTAGGGGGAGGGGATTTGAAACCTCAGCAGCTGCGGGGAAGAGCATCGACATGGTCAGCACCTGGAACTTTCGAGAAAGTGTCTTCACGGCTGGACCAATCCGAGTTCATGTGCGTGGGCTTTCAGGCACAGGCTACAACTGCAAGCATGCGATTGTGAGAGAGAGAGAGAGGAGCCCATGTAAAGATGGTGAACCCCTCGTCCAGTGCGCATCCTTCGGGCCACTGCAAGGTTGCCATCTTATCCCACGATCCTGATGCAACTTCCGTTTAGGGCTTCTTCTCCTAAGCTCCCAATCAGCACCCGTGCTCCTTTTGGTGGCGTGCCGTTGACCTCAAGGCGTTGACAGCAGCAAAACGGCGGGATTGCCAATAAGGCAGCCCCTGTTTCCATAACTCCAATCCTCGTCAAGGCCGCATGGCCGTGTCTGGCCTTGCTGCGCTAAGTTTCTTGGGGCCTTCTGCGCTTGCCCTTTGACCCCAAGATTATGTCTTCATTACACCTGCAACATCACTACCATATACCGCATGTGCACACATGCAAAAAAACAAGGTGTGAACCTGCTATGCGTTCCGCTGCACTCACAGGAAGTTGGAGGTATCAGCCTGCAGCAGGCTTGCAGCAAAGCGGGCACTGTTTGGTTGATGGAGCTACCCGGAGCTACCCCCGAGCGATCTCCTAAGACCTTCATGGGCCGTCTGAACCAAGACCGCGGAAAAATGCCGAAAACGAAATTTGAAATTTGATGAGATCTCGGATTTTGAGCAACGAGCACAAGGTCAGAAAGACGTTGAAGCCGTCCTCTCCTCCCGACCCGAGAGAAACAGAAGCTGACCTCCTCAAGCGCTGCTGCTACTGGGTTTAGGGTTTAGGGTTTAGGGTGTAGGGTTTGGCGAAGAGCTTGAACTCCCCGCTTGTATCCCCCCAAGCGCTGCACCTGGGCCGGATCGTACGCCTCTGCTCCAGCAGACCTCATGTCCAGTCGCATCTCTAGGGTTTGTTCAGCTCCCCCTGGGCCACAGCACCAGTAAAACCCTTCTCCAGATCCAGTTTAGGGCTGAAGGGTCGAAGATGTTCATTCCTCAGATGCTTTGGGTGAAGGTACGAATCTTCTGGCTCAGCGGCTGATGGCTTATGGAAGGAGCCAGCATGAGCCCGCCACCACTTCTGCCGCAGGCGTGACTGAGGTATGCT